AGAGCTCTGGAACGTTTGCTAATCCCAGAGTTCTTTTCTTTTTTTATTAAAAAGGGATTACTAGCTTCATGTAATTACTTCTTTTTAAATTACTGGCAGTATTGCTAAATGTATTTAGATTGTGTCACTCAGCGGTCACAATTGAATACATAAAGATGTCATTCATCATCCAGATCAAAAGCTACAAACAAATTATAGTGCATACTCCCGAGACTCTTGGCCTGACATGTATTAGAATTTAGGAAGAAAAAAAAATGGGCAGATTTTAAACAACCTATATGTTTAACTCTTGGGCATCTTATAAAGTCACAGAAACTTGAGCACCAGTCTCTGGAAGCACAGCAGTAATGGGTAGGAGCAGAGGCCACTGTGCCCAGTTTCCGAGTCCTGAACATGGGTCTGTGACTTAATAGGTGTATAATATCAGACACTTGGTCGAAAACTTGGTTTCCCTCCTCGGTAAAGCAGCACTAGCACATAAATACTACTTACTGTATAGGGTTATGGAGATCAAATGAGATAATGTATGTATCTTGCACAAAGAAGGGACTCACTGCTAGGTGCATCTATTGAGCCAGTAATTCCATTTCACAGGTGAGGAGGCTGCACTGAGACTTACGAGGTCACCATCAAGAGGTGACGTCGCAGCCGCTGGAATTCAGGTGATGTGCTCTAGTCCTTCTGCCTCAACTTGGGCTTTGTTCTTTGAATTTTTAAATTATGAATTTCCATAAAACTACTGTACATTTTTGTTCTGGAACCCTCCCTCCTCCCCTCCATGGATCTAAATGCAAATGTCTACAAAGCAGAAAATGTGTCCCACCTTTAATAATTTAATAATAGGTTTGCATCCTGAGACTATTGGCTTGAGTTAATCATAATTCTTTAAACGTTAGCATAATCTGGCAGGCTTCAAATGTGTTTGCTTAACTTCTGATCTCTTTCTATGCGTTTTCTTTCAGTTTGTCTCCCTCTGGTGGATTAAAAAATACTTTTTATTTTTAAAATAACTGGGTTATTTGGGTCAAGTTTTGCTCAAGTTAAGAGTTCATCTGTTGTCTGTTTCATGTTCTGGAACTTCTAAAAAACTGCTTTGCCTGGATGGGAGTCTTTGGAGAGGCTGCAGTTCAAGGAGGAGAGAAGTAGGCTGAAGGCATCTGCTCCCAACAGGTCCACGAGCACTAAGAAGCACATGCAAAGACACAAAAGTGTATTCAGAGAGAACTATGTGGTTTTAAATGAGTGAGAATAAATTGCAAGAGGTCAGGGGTGAAAGGTTGTGTATGAGATGACGTGGAAGGGTGAGCAAGGACCAACCAGTTTTTTTTTTTAAGTCTGTTTGACTCTTGTTTTGTAGGTAATTATTTGAATTAGGCTGCATAAACAGACAACCCAGTTAAGGGGCTTTTAAAACAAAGTTTATTTCTAGCTATATAAGAGCAGTCAGGAAATAGCAATCCATGACTTGATATGGAGCTCTTCTGTTTTCAGTATGCAGTTTCCTTTCAATTCCTACTCCTTCATCCTTAGGGTGTGACCTTTGCCTTCATGGTCCAAAATAGCTGCAAAAGCTCCAGCCATTGCTTTCATTTATCCAGTTGGACATCTGCCATGGACCTTTCCCCCTGATGGTTTTTAGTCACAGTTTGAACTATTCAGCATCTTCTTTAGGAGGCAGTCGGGGTTCACCTGGCTTATACCACTCCAGCTGTGCAGGCTATCACCCACGACTGATGCAGTCTCTAGCACATGAATCCTAGATGGCTCTCAGGCCCTCTACACCTGCTACACTCCTCTCTAAGGGAAGCCTGGGTATGAAGATGGATGAAGAGCTAACAGAAGCCAAAGGGCAAGAAGTGAGTTGGGGTGGGACTGTGGGCATCTTTTCTCATTTTTTTCTTACATGAAAGAGATGCTGAAAAGAGAGGGGAAACGGGGGATTTGATGTACGGGGATCCCTGGGGAGATGGAGGAGCTGAACCCAGGATACAGGACTGACTGTGAGTAATAGACAAACTCCTCTTTCTCTGAGAACTGAGCTAAATAGGGCTTAAACGAAGGAACATTTGCAGCGAGGGACAAATGAGGTCTGAAACCGGGAAAAAAATTATCAATATAATATATTGTAGATGACTGAAACACAATCATTTCTGATTTAGTTCACATTTAGTCTTTATGTCCCGAGCAATGTGCTTGCAATTTTCATACACATTTATCTATTTTAATTCTCATAAACAGTTGACAGTTAACTTTATATTATCAAAACATATACCAATTTAATTTTAGTACAGGAAGTTGTCACCTTTTGCAAGTCACTGAGCATGTATTATCTAATTTGATTTTTCTAGCAGTTGTCAATTTTACAGGTACAGAAGCCAAGGCTCAGGGAGGTAGAATCACTTCAGTGGGCATCAATTGTATGATTTTACTATTATTTAAATGAGTCAAATTTGAATATAGGTTTGAAAATAAAGGGCATTTTATTTTTTTCATCAAAATTTTGTTGATTTGCCATTCTTTAACAAAAACATTTAAGTTTGGAAGTATAATCTCTCAACGGCATTTTAGACAGCTGCTGTATTGTCAGGTAACAAAGCACCCATCTGCCTAAATAGGCTAGCAGAGCTCTGAGACAGTCATCTGCTTTGGGGTGCTGAGAGGGTGCTGTATTTCCTAAGGGGGGGGGCTAGTCATTGATAGCAACTGAGGCTTGGAATGAAATGGGGTTCCTTCAGGCTGCTCAACCTAGGGCCCTTGTGCTTGATAAACCTGTATTTTCTACATTCCTTTCTCTTGTCTCCTTTCAAAATGCATACAAAGTCTGAAGTCCATAAAATTAATCAAATTGGATCAAAATGGAGATTAGTACTGACCCTTTCAACCTTCCCATGGAGATAGCATTTCCTTGCTCTCTTCTGATTTCCTCCCACTCTCCCTCCTTTTCTCCTCCCTTCTACCTTCTTGTGTTATGATTTTTAATCGAATACAGTGAGTTCATTATAACAAGTCTCATTATTTCATCTCATGTTTATTTCTAGGGATTAAATCATAATCCTCATTCTTCATAAAATATGTCATTATGATGATGAGCCCAAAAATGCATGATTCCAGTTCCTCAGCTCTGGCCTCGATGGAGCTCTTCAGTATTTGGGGGGAGTTGTTTTAGGGTATGCATTTTAGTGCTTATATTTACTCATATTAACCTGGTGCCAGGCTCTACTCTAAGCCCTTGCATACATGATGTAATTTCCTTCATTATCACTCTTCCCAGCAAGTAACATTCTCATCTCATCTGCTATTTCCATAACCTGAGGTTAAGTGACTTTCTCTGTCGTCAGCTGTGGACAAGATTTGAAAAGAAAGGCGCATCTCAGTGTAATAATAAGAGATCAAAAATCTCTTTCGTGTAACTTAGAGTTGGTTCACAGTTGTCCATTCATCTGCAGAGTATTATTCCTCTTGTTGGAATTAAATCTGGAGCTTCCAACAGAGGAAGAATAAAAGAGAAACATGACTTGGTTAGATGAAGGTCCAGGCCTGGGGAGACAAGAGTGAGACAGACAAGATCCTGTTCCATCTTGGGCTCACAGTTTTGGGGGGGCAGGTTATAGTTTGTTCTAAAGGCTCATGAACACTTAATAATTGGATAGAATTATTTCCCCCCATCATTTGAACCATTATAATGTTCTCATATTTGGGCATCTGGGGTGTTTCCAGTTTGGGACCAATGCATAGATAATTTTCCTATCTATTTTTTGGTTTATAGTGAAATATTTTCTTAGAACGATTTTTTTGTAGCATAGTTACTAGGTCATAGGGCATGATATCTTTTTATGGTTCTTCCAAATGCATTTCCATTTTGCTTTACAGCTGGGTTTGTTATTTACTAGAGAACATTTACTGAGCATCTACTATGTATCTGTATATACTGAGCTCTAGGGATACCCTGTGAACAGGTATGATCTCTGCTCTTAAGTATACCAATTTATGTTACTAGAAATGTATACTTTAGATTTTGCTACAAAAAAAACACCAGTACCAAAAATTTTAACCAATTTTCTTTTACTTAATTTTTTTAAGTTTGCATTTAATGATTGGGTGTGCATTCTATTTTTATATGAATCATTTTTGTGTGTATGTAAACTTTTTATGAAATACTTTTGCCCATTTTTATATTGTTTATTTTCTTATTCAATTTATAAACTTATTTTCCTTATAAAGATGAGCGATATCTTTACATCTTCCTATTTAGCATACATTTAATTTTTATTATTTTGAATTATACATAAGTTTAAAATTTTTTTGTATTTGAATTTGTTGGTCGTTTTCTTTGCTATATGTTCTTCTGTTCTCAACTGTGTTCCCACAGATAGGATAAATAGTGTATTTCATTTGATGTTAGTTTCTTTTCTTTTTTTAAAAATTTATTTATGCATACAAGAGCTGAGGCACAGGCCAGAGATACAGGGCAGGGGTGGGGTGGGAGGGGATTGTGATGATCCATCAGTGAGAGATTGGGGAGCACAACTGGCAGATTGACTGAAATACACTGCTGAGGGGAGCAGCGGGGGAGTCAGGAGAGGTCTGCTGCGCCATGTGGGTATCTCCCTGGCCAGGGATCGAACTCATGCTGTAGTGACTGCGGTTAGCCTCATCGGTTGAGTCTTAACCCCTTTCGCCACCAGGGAGGCCCCCACTTTTTATTTAAAACCCATTTTTAGATACTGGACCCAGAGCCCCGCCCCTTCCCGGGGTCGAATTTAAAGAGGCTCAAGCTCCGCACTTCAGCTGGGCCTGCGGAGGGGCGGGATCCGTTGCCTAGGCGATGGGGCGGGGCGGGTCTAGCCTGTAAGCTCGTTGCGATCCCGACCAGTACTTCCGGGGCGGGGGCGGGCGGAAGGGAGGGCGCGGCGCCCGACGCGGCGGCAGCAGCCAATCAGCAGGCGGGGCGCCCATTCAAATTGCGGACACCGCGGGAACCGGCGGTGGATGTGGTGAGTGACTTGGGGGCCCTGGCCGGCTCAAAGAAGGGGAGCCCTGGGGGGAGACGAAGTATGCATGCAGTGGAGGGCGTGGGGCGCTTTCTGTTTGGGTGACATGAGATGCGGGGATGGTCTTAGCTCCGGTCCCCACTTGCCCCAGAATCTGAGTGGGCTGCTAAGGTGTCCCCGAAGGAGGGGCGCGGGGCAGGCGCTCTGTGGGTCCCGGAAGTCGGGTTTTGGGGCTCCCAACTTTCGCCCGTGGAAGTCTCGCCCAGGTGTTGGCGTCGAGAGGTGCGTTAATTTTCACAGTCCTGGTAGTGCCGGGAGGAGAGAGCAGAATCAGCTGGACGGTTTGGTTGGGTTGTGGTTATTTTTGTTCCAGTCCTTCATAAAATCCGATGACGAAATTCCCAAACCAAGTATCTCATCGATTTGTGTAAGTAGCAAATAGTTTCAGCTGTAGAATAATTTCCATAAAAGGAAGAGTCTATACTTTTAATTAAAAGGATTGAGGGAGATGCTTTATCATCTAACGAATTTTATTTGGGGCGGTCATGACTTACTCATTTGGAACTTTAAAAGATTTGAAAAATTGTTTTCCGTAGCAAAGTCTATGGAACAGTTCGAGCAAGTGTCACTTTACAAGTCAGAAACAGGCATGCACATTTAACGACAATAAATTTTAAGATGTGAAAAATGTAAAGAGAAAAATTTACATCAGTATCACCAGTTCAGTAGAGTTGGCTTGAAACCAGGCGTCTGAGCTGTTACTGCTATTCTCTTTCTTTCAAGTTTTATTGCTGGATGTATGTTGTTGACCTATTTGTGAGCACACAACTGTCGAATTTGTTTCTAACTGCCAGGGGGCAGGCTCTCTGCTGCTTGCATACATGTACTGAACAAGAGCACTTATGTACAGTACTTATATGTAGTGCTTATTTTATAGTACGTGTCCTGCAGGATCCAGGACAAGACTGGTAAAGGGGGAGTCCTGCAGCCCTCAGTGGCTTTTTCAGGTTTTCAATAATTTTCTACACCATTTGTATTGAGGCAACCAGGTACAGGGCAGGCAGGGAGGAGGGGGGGGAAGGAGGCTGCCAGCCTTGGCAGCCCTGCCAGGTCGCCCCCACCAATCTTCAATTTTTTGGGGCTCTATGGTGTTCTCTCCTGGTCTCTACTGGACCCCACCTCTTGGTCCTCTGCACCACAATCTCTGCTGTGGCGTCCTGTTCTCTGCTCGCACTCATAGGCGCCATCTCTCAACTCAGGTGTGCCCACTTACACACACCCACGCCACACTTTAGGAGCCTCCAGCAGGCTGGTATGTAAGACCATAGGTGTTGATCATTGATGTTAATGGCAGGAGGGCGGAAAAAACCTGATAACTTGCATTTACCCTACTGTACTTATACTTCCTGTCTCTGGTAAGTGCTCTCTGTGGTACTTATTTGAAAATAATCTGCCTTGTGACACCTCTCAAACTAATCCGTGAGTCAATTCTGTATTTTAACAAACTTAACAGACATTATAAAAGTGTTTTCCTTCAGTTTTTGACTCAGGTGCTAGGGTTCCTTTGATTCCTTTGATTCCTTTCCCTACTGGCCAAACTGGGGGTACTGAAAAAAAACCTGCTTGGGCACAAGGGGTTAAGTCACAGCACTATGAAGCTATCTGCAGCCACTGCAGCATGAGTTTGAACCCTGCCCAGGTTGCTGACCCACCTGGGGCAAAAGACCTCTCCTGTCTCGCCCGCCGCTCCCCTCAGCAGTGTATTTCAGTAGATCTGCCTGTCCTGCTCCCCACTCTGTCTCTGGTGAATTCTTTCACCCCCCCCCCACCTCTGGCCTGCACCCCAGCTTTTGTATGCAAAAATAAATAAATCTTTATTTATTTTGAAAAACCAGCTTTGCTGACATGCCCTTGTTACATCTTGGCACATTTGACGTAAGCGTTATCTGTGTATTCTGTCTAAACTAAAGAAATGATAGGAATCTTTAGACTAAAGAAATGATAGGTACCAGTCATTGCCTGGCATGCAATGGGAATTCAGTAAATATTGTTAACTGATTATAAGCTCTGAGGGCAGAGACTTGTCTGAATGTGCATGAAAACAATATCTGAGCTGGACATTGTGATTTATTTTAATGTTGCTCTCTGGGATGTTACTTTCACAATGGAAGTTTCTCAGAATTTTAAGCCAGTTGGTAGTTTGTACCATCTAATTTTTTTTTTTTTTTTTTTTTGTAGTTTAGCAGGTATTTTTCGAAGCTGATGCATAAGAAATGGCTGGAAATCAAATGCAAGTCCAAAGAAGAGCATAGGTTATTCAACAACATTCTTTAAAAAAAAAACCCTGCTAACACAATGTCACTCTACACATCACATAATAGAAGTAACAGCCATATTCTTGACATTCCTTCTTCCCAAAAGAGTTCATCACGGAATGTCCTCACCCACAGTAGCAGCCTTAAGCTGCACTTGAAGTCGGATTTGTTAGAATGTGAAAATGACGATCCTTTATTGAGATCTGCAAGTAAAATCAGAGACATAAATAGCACTTACGTTATTTCTGCCAGCAAAAAAACAGATCTGCCCTGTACCCCTAACTCTATAGATAGACTGACACTTCGGAGAAGAGTTACCAGGAACAAGGAGTCATCTGTGCTTGATAATGAGTTGGGGGACTCCACAGAAAAGACAACAGAAACTCGTCTCACGTTACAATGTCGTGCTAAAGTGGATTCTGTGGGGAAGTGGAGGACAAGGCAGAACGTGGGAGATGAATCGGAGAATAATTATGCTTCCCAGGAAACTAGTACTGATGTAAAAAATGTAAATAAAAATAAAAACTCTTTTGTTTCTTTTGCTAAAGACCCAAAAGAGATTGGAAAGACGGCTGATGAAAAACACAAAAAGACGTTTTCTGCCTTCCGTGGGACAAATGAGAATGTTGCGCTTAAGTACTTAAACCCTAGAGCACCCACTGGTTCGCAGAATCAGAATGGAGCTATTAACTCAGGATACTTGGCCACAAAACCCACTCAGAGCATGTTGGATAGCAATGTGTCAGCACTGGGGAACTATCACAGAAGTACTGGGAAGGACGCTGGGAAAAAATCAAGTACATCTGGAAGCTTAGAGCAAAGAACACCTACTAAATACGTTACCGAGCACAGTTCCACCCCAAAGTGCAGCACGCCTTTGTCTAAGAGCCCAGCTCCATCGATACTGAAAAATAGCCTGTCTGGCCTTCAAGTGAAACAAAAACCAAAAAATTCTCTTCTCGAAAATAAAAGGGGACAGTCACAAGAAAATACACTCCCTCCTGAGGAGGAAGCTGCTGTTCAGAACTCTGCCGTAACAGACCCCTTAAAAGTGGAGAACAGTCAAGTGACAGTGGCAGTCCGTGTGAGGCCCTTCAGTAAGAGGTATGTGACCCCCTGTAAGCACAAAGGCAAGCAGGTGCTCTCCCTTTGGAGAGAGCTTGGTGGGAGTACACTGCAGATTTGAAGCGGATTGCTCTAAAAAGACTGAAGGCATTCCAACTTTTAAAAAGCAGCCTATTTAGAAAAATTTACATTTTGGAACTTTGGAATCCCACAATAATTATGTTTGCCAGTCTGCATTTTCCAGATTGGAACTAAAAAATTATCTTGCCTTGAGCGATATGATATTTGACTAGTTTTGTGGTCCTTATTGCGTTCTGTAAAAATAGTACTCACAATTATGATGGTAACTCGACTTTTTTTTTGTGCTTCTTTTTGAAGAGAGAACATTGAAAAAGCATCTCAGGTGGTCTTCACGAATGGAAGAGAAATAGTTGTGGAACACCCGGACATGAAACAAGCTTATCATTTTATTTATGATGTTTCATTTTGGTCTTTTGATGAGTGTCATCCTGACTATGCTAGCCAGACGACCGTGTACGAGACCTTAGCAGCACCCCTCCTACAGCGAGCCTTTGAAGGCTACAACACCTGTCTCTTTGCTTATGGTCAGACTGGCTCTGGAAAATCCTATACGTAAGTTTTGTTGCAAAACGATCATCCAGAAATGTTTCGTATCCAACTGCTTTTGTGTGAAGCAGCCTGGTTTGATAGTAAGAATATACTTGGATACCACACAGATCTCAGTGCAAATCTTACCCATGTTACATTCTATTGTGAAAACTGGGTAGGTAACAACCTTTGGGCTTCTGTTTTTGTGTGACATTTAGAATGTAGGTATTACCGGCTGCATTTTATTGTAAATTATATTGTGTAAACTGAAAGCATTGTAGTGAGAATTAATAAATCATCAAATGACTGGTATGGTAATAACAACTGTCCTAGAAGGAAATACTCAGAATGTGGATAGTGGCTAACTGTTGAGTTCTTGCTATAGTTCAGGCATTTTGCTAAAGGCTCTGCTTGTGCTCTTGTTACAGGCCAACCCCGATATAAAATGGGTTGCCTGACTGTGGGTCTTCACCCGCACGCTTAAAGGGGACATAAATTGCAGGCACACACAAAAGGTTAACAAAAGGTTTATTTACAAGGGAAGGGGAAATGAGGAAATGTACAATTCAGGGAGAAAAGAGGAAGATAAATTCTTAAATGCATCCTACCTGTTCCGCCGACCTGGAATCCCAAATGACCTGCCGAGACCAAATGCTGCCTATCTAAGAGCATGGGCCAAGAGAGCTGCCCCCACTCACATGGTCAGTTAAATACCCAAACAGAGAAAATGGCTGCTTAACTCTGCCCTTATGTCCTTGCAACCTCCCTTTGGGGAACATGGGATTTGTAGTTCCCAGTGTCTTGATGGAGTAGGGGTGGCATCCACAAAGCCTGTATAGAGTTTGCACAGGACATCCCTTCTCCCTAACACTCTCACAACAATATTTTGAGTTAGATAGTTTGACATATTCCCATTTTACAGAACAGGAAATGGAAATTTACACCAGTATTTTGTCCAAAATTACAGAGCTAATATGTGGTGAAATCAAGATTTGAATTCAGGCAGATTTGACTCCATAACCCAGGTTCTTCAGATCAGATAGGGTTTAACTAACTTGCTCTCCACACTCTCCTCAACCCATTTGCCCCAAAAAGGAATTAAAAAAAAAAATAAGCTAATTAGTTTTGCTTTTTCTCATACCTAATGTATTTTTCAGGATGATGGGATTTAGTGAAGAACCAGGAATTATTCCAAGATTTTGTGAAGATCTTTTTGCTCAAGTAGCCAGAAAACAAGCCCAAGAGGTATGTTCTCATGCTATCTGCAAGTCTTTGTATTAGACTAGAAAACTGTCAGATCGTGTTCAGATCAGTCATGGCCACTAAGAAGCTGGGAAAATGGGTTCATTTATAGAGCACTCTTTGGGAGTGGTGCTGTGGGGGTTCTAAATTCAGAATCCTCTGGTGGGCAGGGAGAGAGGGATCCCTTCTTCTGTTTTACTAGTTTAGGAGCTTCATTTCTTTTGTGTGTGTGTAGGAACTCACAGTGTGAAAGTTGCATACCATTACTCGTGTCTCTGTGGTCAGGCAGGTACAGATAATGAGCACAGCAGGCAAACCACACGAATATGCAGCAGGAAGAGAGGAGTGAAGCTGGAGTCTGAAACATTTCACTTCACAAGCCAGGCTATTTCCAGGTCCTATATCTGAAAAGTCTCTTCTGGCTTTCCTTTTCACCCATTCATTTGTACATTCAGCAAGTATTTACTGAATATTTAATGTAGGTAAATAACTGTTAGGCCAGTTTTTCCCCTACGTTCACTTGTTCATCAGAATCAACAGGAGTGTGGCGGGGGCAGGACTGTGCATGTGTGCGCCTACATGCGTGTGTCATTCACAGAATCTGGGAATTTAGAATTTTCTTACTTTCCCTCTAAAGTGTTACCACAGAGGAAATTGGGAAAATCTTGTGCCAGATTTGGGAGTGTTGGAGTTAAGAGACTCAATCTCTGTGGTTAAGACTGGTATGGGGAAAAAAGGGCCAGAAGACAGCCAAGAACACTCAATTAATGCTAACTAAAGTAAATGCTGTAATAGAATAAGAAAAGGAAGCTTGTGAGAATATGTAAGCTTGGAGAGAAAGAGAGGTTTTTCTTAGAGTAGGCAATAACTCAGCTTATTTTGGAAGGAACCATGACACGTATTAGCTTGGTGAAGATGAGGAAGGACATTCCAGGTAGACGGAGCAGCATGTGCAAAGGTTTGAAAGTAAGAAAGTAGAGAGCCTGGGAATCTAGAAATTGTTGACTTTGTTTTAAGCTTGGAATTTGAGAGTAGAGGGTAACAAAAGTTGAACTGGAGAGGCAGAGAGAACTTGGCTTGTGAAGGGCTATAGGAACCATGCTTTTAGGAATCTAGAAGGCAATAGAAGGATTTTAAGCAGGAAAGTATTATGATCATATTTACTTTTTAAATAAAAAAGATCGCTCTGGCTGCATTGTACAGAATGGGTTGAAGGGAAATGAGACTGAGTCCAGAGAAACCAGCTGTAGAATTTGTAAGCTGTCTAAGGATTGATGAGGAGCTAAACAAAGGTAGTGACAGGAAGGGTAAACAAGGGGGCATACATTTGAGAGACTTAGTAAGTAGAACTGAGACTTAGTGACCATTGGAAACAGGATGACAGAGAAATTATGCTCTGGCTGGATCCATTCATAGGATTCTATGCAGCCATTAGGACCATGAGAGGTAGAGCAGACTGAGTGCAGGTGGAGCTCTCTCCCACTGTAGGTACACTGCCTGTCTTCTAGCTTCTTCCACTTCTCCCAACTTTTCACCTGAAGTTCAAAGTTGGAGGAAAGGGAGCAGTAGAAACATGGTGGCCTAGAAATGTGCTCCAAGTCTAACTTTAATGGGACTAGGGAGTGAGAAGCCTGTGGGCTTCCACTGACTGTCAGTCCTCCATTGACTGTTTAGGATTTTAGAGTAGGGTGATTTGAAGGATAAAGCAAGCCAGGGAGAGGTAAAGTGGAGGAGAGAGAGAGACTTTGGGATGACTTCACAGAAATGGGAGCCTCAGATTTTACATAGAAGGACTATCACTGAGAGGAAAGAAGTGTAACAATTAAGAGCATGGGCTTTGGAGACAGTTAGAATCCAAGCCCCATCACTTTACTAGGATTGTGAAATTGAACAATTTATTTAACTTTCTTCTGCCTTACCATAGGAAAGAGGGATGGTGATGATAATAACCATTCTCATAGTTTTGTGATGAAGTTTAAATGGCTTCATCTTTGTTAGAGGTTTTGAATAAGGCTTGGCACATAACTAACCCAACTAAGTGATTATGGTTCTATTTGGGGATTATTAGAACAGTAAAGGGTAATAGTTTGTTGATGGGGGTAATGGAATGTGGAATAGTCAGCACATGACAGGAACCTCAAAGGAGAAGAATAAGTATGATCCTCTACAATGTGCACATAACTATTTTCCCCAACTCCTCTGCCTCTACATTTTCATCCTAGACCCCCCTGGGGTCCCATACCCAATATACTATTTAATAGGAATTAATAGATAGATGTTTATTGAATTCTAAGCCTCCACACTGTCATCAGTAGCATTTGTAATTTCACAGTGTTTCCTTATATCTGATCTCTTTATCTGGAAGTGCGTTGTTCTTCTCTCCTGATGCAAAACATATTCTTGTGTTATTCACCGTGTGGATTGTATTATGAATTGTATTAACCATGTTCAGTTAATCTCAGTTAGTCTCAGATCTTCCCATAGCAAAAAGAAGAGTCTTTGTATCTAGTGGAGTCAAATAAATATTTGGTGAATTGAACCTAAATCCCTGAAACTCCCTGAAGCTTCCAGTTCTGTTAGTTGCAGGTAGATCAGATTTGCTTCTTTTGTGAACTCTTGCCATTTGCAATAACATGAAGGGGATAATACTACATGAAAAAAATCCAAAGGAGAAAGACAAATACCAGATGGTTTTACTTATATGTGGAATACAGAGAAACAAAATAAAGAGTTGGCAAAACCAACCAATAACAAACCCTGGAAGTCTGACTGCTGCAAGATGTGGAGGGGTGGGCAGCAAAAAGGGGAAGGAATACAGTGGACTATGGTAGAGGGCTGCGGATGCCTTGGCGTGGGTGTAGTGTGGTCACATGCATCTAAGGAAGTGGGGTTCCATGATTTTGAATCACGTAGTGTTGTGTAAACCAAAATTACCTCAAAATTAAATATTTTTTAGGGAAAAAAAGAAATCTGCTCTTCTAATAAAGAAACCATCCCCTAGCTATAAAAACTAACAAATTCAAGTTTCCCTCCTTTGGCATTTATGCCCTGTCTTTCTGAGTCAAAATGAAGTAGAAGCTTAGCCCTACTTAATCTAATTGCTTTCTGCCTCAATCAGAAAGAATTACTGATTTACGATCCCAGTTTACCATATCAAATGTCTGTATCTATAGTCCACTCCATCTCTCAGGCCTCATGTCCTTTTTCTCCATCCCCAGTTTTTTCTGCCTCCCCCCATTATATCCCCTTTGTCATTACTCATTTATACTTATGATCTCTTTTTTTAATTCTTAATTTTCTATTGATCTGTCTTATCTCTTGAGAGGTATTTTGCATTCCTCTGAGATGGGTCCTCATGGGCAAGAACCTTATCTTTATATCCTTCTAACTATAGCCCAAAGCCTTATATAGTAGGTAGGTACTTATTAGATTGAATTGAACCTTACCTAAAAATTAATAAGAAATGCAATAACTTTGTTATCGTTCCAATGAATTTTTTTTTTTTTTTAAAGAGCAGCCAAGTGCAATAGTTGGCTTTTCTTTTCTTTTCTTTTTTTTTCAGATTTATTTATTTATTTATACAAGCACCGGGTACAGTCAGAAGCGCAGGAGGGAGAGAGAATTCACCATAGCCAGAGTGTGGAGCAGAGCAGGCAGAGGGACCGAAGTACACTGCTGAGGGGAGCAGCGGGCGGCAGGAGAGGTCCGGGCGCCATGTGGGACCCTCCTCCGGTGGCCGGGGAGCAGCCGGGGATCGAACAGGCGCTGCAGAGGCCGCCGGCAGCTTCACAACCCAGCGCTCAACCGCTGCGCCACCGGGGAGGCCCCCAATGAAATTTTTTAATAAATTTTAATTTATAAAAAAATAAATATCGTAAAATTATCCATTTATAGGTATAAAATTCAGTTGACATTTATTACATTCATAATGTGTAATTACTACTCCTATCTGGTTCCAAAAATTTCTTACCACCTCCTACAGGAAATCCTTACCCACTAAGCAGTTATAACCTATTTCCCTTCCCCAAATTTCTGGATTTGCCTATTTTGGATATTTTGTATAATTGGAATATCATGCAATATGTGATATGATGTGATAAAAAACTTCTTTCGGGGCCTCTCTGGTGGTGCAAGGAGTTAAGCACCATACTATGAAGCAATCTGCAGCCTCTGCAGCACCAGTTTGATCCCCGGGTGGCCAGGGAGCAACCCTCATGGCGCAGCAAACCTCTCCTGTCTCACCCGCTGCTCCCCTCAGCAGTGTATTTTGGTCAATCTGCCTGTTCTGTTCCCCACTGTCTCTGGTGAATCCTCTCACCCTCTGCATCTCTGGACTGTACCCCAGCTCTGGTATGCATAAATGAATGGATCTTTAAAAAAAACAAAAACTTCTTTCACTTAGTATAATCTGTTGGAGGTTGATCAGTGTTGTAGAATATATCAATACTTCATTCCTTTTAATGACTGAATAATATTCTGTTATATAGATATACCAGTCTTATTTATCCAGTCATCAATTGATGGGCATTGGGTTGTTTCCATCTTTTGTCTATTGTGACTGGTACTACTCTGAACATTAGTGTGCAAATAATTCCCTGAATACCTATTCTCAATTCTTTTAGGTAGATAGAACAGAAATTTTGCTGGGTCACATGGTGATTATGTGTTTAACCTTTTGAGGAACCACTAAGTGTTTTCCATAATGGCTGCCACATTTTACATCCCCACCAGCAATGTGGATTTTCATCCACATTTACATCCTCATCAACATTTTCTGTTTTCCATTTTTTTTATTGAAGCCGTCCTAGTGGATGTGAAGTGTTTTTCATTGTGGTTTGTATTTCCTTATTCACTAATGATGTTGAGCACTTTTTCATGGGCTGGTTGACAATTTGTATGTTTTCTTTGGAGAATATCTCTTCAAGTCCTTGGCTTGTTTTTCAGTTGTGGTGTTTGTTGTTGAGTTGTAAGAGTTCTTTATATATTATGGGTACTAGGTCCTTATAATATATATGGTATGCAAAAAATACAAGAACCTTAAAATAAAGTGCCTGTTGTGTTTCTCTTTCCACTAGGTCAGCTATCACCTTGAAATGAGCTTTTTTGAAGTATATAATGAAAAAATTCATGATCTTCTGGTTTGTAAAGGTGAAAATGGACAGAGAAAGCAACCAGTAAGATTAAAAGAATTTATTATTTTTTAATATCTGTTTTTATAAATGCATATGATTTTATTCTCAAGATAATGTATATTGCTTAAATTTTTACTAAAATGGTATATGATAGCAAATGCTTGGGATCTACATTCTAATTATATTGTTATTTAGTAAATAAGCCAAACATTATCATTAATGGAAATTAAATTAGTCAATAAATGTAACCTTTTTTTTTTGTTTGGATCAGGTATCATGTTAAAGTTAAGATAAAATATTGGTTTCAATATTTTGAAACCACTTAAACACCTAATTTCCTAATTATAAAACAAACAGTAAAAGTTTTAAAAATTGTATTGTTATAGAATATGCATTTTTCTGGATTATTTAGCAAATTGACATCTTGTAGATATTTTTTGTAAAATAAAAAGTTTCACAAATATGTAAGCTTTTTAAAAAAACCTGCTTTTAGAATTTAAATTTTTTCATGGAAAGGAACTTGGAGTACAAGAAACTAAAGTCTAAAAAGATCACCTGACTGCCCAGGTCATGCAATGTACTATTGACAACATCAAGAACTGAAAACTTTGCTTTTTCTTCTATGACTAATGTTAAAAATTCTTCTTTGAAAATTTCTAATCACAAAATTTAGAATGTATAAATTATAAAACTGAAGAAAATTTTAATGTCTGAATCTTGTTGAATATGTTTTAGTGAGACCTTAAAAGCATGCAGATCATGGGCCTCCCTGGTGGCACAGCGGTTGAGCTCTGGGTTGCGAAGCTGCCAGCAGCCTCTGCAGCGCCGGTTCGATCCCCAGCTGCTTCCTGGCCACTGGAGGAGGGTGCTGCATGGCGTGCAGACCTCTCCTGCCGCCCGCTGCTCCCCTCAGCAGTGTACTTCGGTCCTTTTGCCTGCTCTGCTCCCTGCTCTGGCTCTGGTGAATTCTCTCGCCCTCCTGCGCTTCTGACTGTACCCAGTGCTTGTATAAATAAATAAATAAATCTTTAAAAAAAAAAAAGGGGCATGCAGATCATACCTACTGCATTATTTAAAGTGAGAATGAAAACTAGTAAGATATTTGATATGCTGTTGCATATTGTACAAATACAAACAGTTTGTTATATTGAAGCATTTATCTGGATGCCTTATAGATTAGTTTTTGTGAGAACCTTTGTATCCACTTTTGGGTAAAAAGTTTTTATTTTGAATTCAAATTACAGATGAAATGGTCATGTGAAATTATATTTTATATGAAATATTTGTCATATTCCTAATGATGCTTGTGTTTGCCTCTACTAGCTGAGAGTAAGGGAGCACCCTATTTCTGGCCCATACGTTGAAGCTCTGTCAATGTAAGTGTTTGGCTCAGCAAGAGCAAGAAGAAAGCAAAAGAATAGAGTGACTATTGTTCTCATTTGTCTCCCCAACTTTGAAACTCTGGATAACTATTTAGCCTTTTATCCTTACTATTATCCAGTTAAAATTTTCTTCTCTTTCCAAATGGAATGTTAGTTCCTTGTTTTTATATTTGTTGATATCTTTCACAGCACCTATAAATTATCATAGAGTAGTATAATAATTATCAAATAAATATTTTCCCTCTTTTTATTCCCTTCTTTCCCCATTATGTTAAGCCTCTACTCTTAAGCTGCTTTTTATACCTCTTACTTTAAGCTGAAGGTACTAAGATCAATTCAGTGTTGAGTTTGAAAAATGCTAAGAGTCATTCACTTGGTGTTACAGCACTCCAAATGCTTTTCTTACGGGAAAGGAAAAGTGATTAGATATAATTTTAACTCCATTTAATAGATCTGGGATTGTGTTGAGACCCACACACACCAACATACCCATCCCAACACACACACACACACACACACACACACACACACACACACACACACACACACACACACACACACACCCCCATGCATCTATATATGTGTTAAAGTAGATCTTTTGGTTCATGATTTAGACTTAAGTATTAGAATGCTAAGATTCTAAAGCGTTTCATTGTATTAAAAAAAATACTTTGTGTTAAAATAAACATTATTTCCAACCTTTAAGAATTGGAAAAAATGAAAGATTTTGTGAGAATTAGTAAAATTCGATTGTGATCTCTGGGGAGTAATGATTTATTTGAAAAGTTACTTTATAAGAACAAGAGTATAATCATCAGTAAAATTGATTTTATCTTTTTACTTTTTAAAAACAGGAATGTTGTCACTTCTTACTCTGATATTCAGGTAAGACTGTATTTTGTCTTTCTACTAGATAGCATGATCATAATCATAAAAATTCACAAAAATATTTTTCATTGCTGTTTGCATAAATAAAAGGTTAATCTTAATTTATCATGAACTGATTTTGTTAAACTTTAATCAAAAAATAATCTACTGAATTAAAGATAAATACTGACAATTATTTCCTCTTAGAGTTATAGCAATAGCATTTTAGTTATTTCCTGATTTAGATTTCTGTAACAAAAAAAAAGACAATGGGAATACAAATTCTAAAACAATGATTATAATTTCATTTTATAAACTAATAAGTGTATGTATGTTACTGAATGGGCTTACTGAACTTTGTTGCTCTTTAATTTGTTGTTCCAATAAATTGCAGTCTGCAGATCTGACCTACCTCTCTTTCTTAGAGTTGGCTAGAATTGGGAAATAAACAAAGAGCTACGGCTGCCACTGGAATGAATGATAAAAGCTCCCGATCCCACTCAGTTTTCACCCTGGTGATGACCCAGACCAAGGTATTTTTTTTGTTGATTATTTTATTAGGCAAGATAGTAACTATTCTCAAGTTTTATGTTTTTCTTATTCTTTAAACAGTGCTAGAAGTGCAGTCATATAAATATATAAACGTAACTGGATTTTAGAAACTATACACAATAACTTTGAATAACTTGGTATATGTGACTTTGTATATATTGTTATTACTAACATGGTAATTGTGTAGTATTTGGGAACACATCAGAAATGAAGAGATTTTAAAAGATTGAGCTATAGGTTCCATAATTCACATAAAATCCCTGTAAACATTTTTGTATAAAATCCTTCAGTTGTTTTACAATCACACTTAAGAAAATATACAAATTCTGCAACAATTTAATGCTGTAAAATTCTTCACAAAATATCATTTTAATAGCTGTGTAGTATTCCATTAACTGTTAGAATTCTCAACTTTTTCTCTACTGTTGTTTTTAAATAACTGTGCTACTTTCATGCTGGATAAACAGTGCTTTTGTCCATTAATGTTTGTCTCTATTTGCAGTTGTTTCCTTAATGTAATTGAGTAATTATGGGTTTTTATCCCTTTAAAGTCATTTCTCTTATGTCAGCATTATACAAGCACTGCTTAGTATATTCTTGAATATTCATGCCTTATAAACTATCACAGATTTAACAAGAGATAGTTTCAAAATAAATGAATGGTTTAAAATCTTTAACTTTCCCTTTTGAAAACTTATATTGATGGCATTATTTATTGTTGTTAATAATTGTTTTTTATTATTATTTTAATATCATTTTGCTACAGACAGAATTTGTGGAAGGGGAAGAACATGATCACAGGATAACAAGCCGCATAAACTTAATAGATCTGGCGGGCAGCGAGCGCTGCTCCACAGCTCACACAACTGGAGAACGACTAAAGGTAAATAAGATGTTTTCCTCATGTTGATGAAACTTACTCCCTAGGGCATTGTTTTAGAAGATTACAAATGAATTATACTTAACCAAGATAACCCATCCATCTTTACCTGCAGTTTATAGCGTGCATTGCTGTGATTTAAAAATGTATACTTTTCAGTTATGTTGGCTTTATAAAGAAAAGTAGTCAATTCTGAGGCATAAGAAAGTTGGTAGTTTTATATGATATAGGAATTGTATAAGGGGAGAAACATGTTTTGTGAAATAAATTTATGGCTGAGCAGTTATTTAAATTAAAGAAAACTTTTTGCTTTTTAAATTTTATATACAGGAAGGTGTGAGTATTAACAAGTCCTTGCTAACTTTGGGAAAAGTTATATCTGCACTCTCCGAACAAGCAAACCGAAAGAGAGTTTTTATTCCTTACCGTGAATCTGTGCTGACGTGGCAAGTATCTTTTTTTAGTATTAAGAATTGTATAAAATACAGTGGTGCTGTGGGGAAAATAATAATCAGCCAACTTCATATAACTTTGGGATAGAAAAGAAATAGGTAACAGCATGAATTTTTTAGAGCCGAACTGCCTGGATTTGTATCTGGGTTCTGCATCTTACAAACTTTGTGACTTTGCTCAAATCACTTAGTGCTCTTGCCTGTTTTCTCATCTGTATTATGGTGATAATATCAATACCTATATTTTAGGGTTAAAGTGAGGATTAAATGATTAATGTAAAACTCAGTACATAGCATGTGCTATATGACCATAAGCAACTGCTATTATACTTAATACTATTAGTGTCTATTGTCTGAGCCTATATCATCAGATATATGTGTGTGAAGTGACATTGAATAGTTTTATTTGCTTAGCACACAATGACGTGTACATTGTTTAATTAGTATTTTTATGAATGAATATGCATTTCATTTCAAATATGTTTCACTCAAATTACTTCAAATTTTGCTACAGACAGAATTTGTGGAAGGGGAAGAACATGATCACAGGATAACAAGCCGCATAAACTTAATAGATCTGGCGGGCAGCACCACATTTAATATCTAATTCTGATAAGTAAACATTAATAGACTAAGAATAGTGAAATGAATTAAGATTCGGTTTATGCTGCACCCTCTAAATAAGGCTTTATCCCTCTAAAATAAGGCTTTTTCAGATAGTTAAAAAGTAAGATCTGTGTTTATATGCCCTTTCATCATTTTCAACATTGGTGATTGAGCACTTGCTCCAAAAGGTTGTGGTAGCACTGGAAATTCAAAGATGACCAAGACATGTATAGCTCATGATTCAATAAGGAGAGAGAGGTATCTTACTAAATATTTGATGGTTAGTTATATTTTTATTGCATCATGAAACAATATAAAATGTATAAGAGAAAGTGTTCATGAGTTCTTTTTAAAAAGACCTATAAGTAACCAAAAAAGATTTAAGTGGTATTGAGTCAAGAGTATAATATATATATCCCATTAGTTTGATTTGTACTTTCAAGAAAATTACCATTATTAACTTGTTGTAGAAGCAAAATCTAATTATGACTTTTTTCCTTGAAGGCTATTAAAAGAAAGTCTGGGTGGAAATTCAAAAACTGCAATGATTGCCACCATCAGTCCTGCTGCCAGCAACATTGAAGAAACGCTAAGCACACTTAGATATGCTAACCAAGCCCGTATGATAGTCAACATCGCCAAAGTAAACGAAGATATGAATGCGAAGTTAATTAGAGGTGAATATTTTTCTAAAAATCTAAAAATTATTTCACTACTGTTTAGGCTCAGATATTAATTTCAGTCAAGAAAATGTGCAATTTAAGAAAATCAAAGATCTTTTTTCCATACTTCCTTGTAAGAGCTTTTAGTTATCATTCTTCAGTGAAGGAGGAAGACAAGTAGAAAGACAATGGGAAAGAGATCAAGGAGTGACAGGGTAAAACAACCAGAAGAAGAGCCCGAGAATGAAGTGTGGGTAAAAGGGAGTTAGCAAGCAGAGGTAAATCATTTTATAGCTGAGCCATAGGTGTATGCAGCAAAATAACAATAAAGTTAACTTATTTTTGCTATTATGACATTTCTGATATTGTCATTCTGTTCAAACTGCTTAGCAACTTAGCAACTCTTGCCCAGTTCTCTGATCCAAAGGCCGTTGGATTTTTGTTTTTCTAATGTAGGTAGGTCTAACTTCATATATGCTAAATACCACTTTCTCTTCATCTCTTGGTAATTGCCCACTTATGATAGACTTGAATTCATGGGAGGAATCTTGATTCGTACAATTTTCTTTGTTTATCTGGAACTACCATCTTTTCAGACCCCTTTGTCCTGGCCCTGTTTAGTGGCAGAAGGTAACTAGCCCTGTTTAGTGGCAGAAGGTAACTAGATACTTTGTAGGTGCAAGCCAGAGAAGAGTGAATTTGCTATATCATAATCCTCCTTCCCACTTTTGGATCCCCTTTGTTTTATAATGGAACCATTTTCATTAAAATAGGTATTTTGAATTCCACCTTGAAAAGTCTTTGCTCTTTATCAATATGTCTTTGTAAGACTTGCCTAGAAAAATTACAGGCTTTCTCTATTACTATTTTGTCCATTGTCACTAATATGCTCCTTTTCCTTTTCAAAAAGACAGTACATTATGTGACCAACCAGCTTGGGGGAGAATTCATTTATATGTGGACACTTTTTCAGATGAAGGCTAGGTAGAGATTTATAGGTAATGTAAGTGAAGTGAAATTGAGTTCTGCAAATATTCTATTTCATTCAGTAATATTTAAAACTTCAAATAAAAGAGCAGATTGTTCCTACTGTGGGAATTATTACATGTCAAATGTTAATAATCATGAATCTTTTTACAAACATTTAGAATTGAAAGCAGAAATTGAAAAGCTAAAAGCTGCTCAAAGAAGCAATCGGAATATTGACCCTGAACGATATAGGCTCTGTCGGCAAGAAATAACATCCTTAAGAATGAAATTGCATCAACAAGAGAGAGACATGGCAGAAATGCAAAGGTGGAATATGGTCCCTACCTTCGATACTGCCTGCAATCTTTTTTTTTTTTTAAAGATTTATTTATTTATTTATACAATCACTGGGTACAGTCAGAAGCGCGGGAGGGTGAGAGAATTCACCAGAGCCAGAGCTGGGAGCAGAGCAACTGCCTGCAATCTTAAGACTGGTGTGGGGAGGGATCAGACGGGAGGGGCTTAAGGGGACTTAGAGTGTTTTTCTTCCCACCTTCCATTTAAATAGAACAGACCACCCCAGGACTGTCATATTTTAAATACTCCTAAGTGGTTTCCTAATCTTTATTAAAGTCCCTTGATACTCAGTCTTACCTGTCCAGGTATTTTTAACTCTATTATTTTGTTTGTTTCTGCAAAGAATGTGGAAAGATAAACTTGAACAAGCTGAAAAGAGAAAGCTTCAAGAAACAAAAGAGTTACAGGTATTTCAACTTTCTAAATTGATCTGAAAGTTACAGAACTATGCCTCAAATGTATGAATTCAATTTCTCAAATAATATGTATCCTGACTATACAAAGCAATATGATAGAGAAACCTTAAGAGCAGTATTGCAATTGCTTAGAGCCCATAAGCTAGTTAGAAGGTTGAAATATAAACAAATAGTCTATTTCTGTTCATTTTGGTTCAATAAATATTTGTTAACTGTTATGTCATGCTAGGCTCTGGGAAAGCCATATTGAATAATATGGCCCTCAGAGAGCTTGTGATCCAAAGGAAAACTTACAGAATATAAATAGATAACTGAGGCAGAACCTTATGAAACTACCTTTTTTGGGCAAAAAATAAAAAATAAAAAAGGATTGACTTTTTATGGTTCAACCTAATGGAATGAGAAGTACATAAAAGGTGGAGAAATAGGAGAGAATAATTAACTTTAATGAGGGTAGTTAGTAAGGAGGACTTAAAAGAGAAAAGAACAGCTAAATAAGGTTTTGTACAATAAAGAGGAACTTGCTTAGCTAACAAAGTCAAAATTTTTAAGCAAAGAAATACTATTTTCACACTCATGGAGACATAACACAACTTGGATGTCCAGAGAATTAAGAGTTTATAAATTAATGCTGGTGACAGACTTTAGACTGGAGAGAGATGCAAAATAAGAGATCTTGGCCTAGTGAGGTACTTGACTGTAGGTGATTGGAAACCACCAGTGTTTTAAAGGGAGGGGAATGACATGAGCAAACTTGTGTTTGTTTACCAGAGTCCTCTGGTTTTATGTGAAAAGTGGTTTTGAGGGAGGAAATACTGATGACGGCAAGGGATGTTACTCATTTAGGAGGCTGCCGCTGTGGTTTGGAGCAGAGATGAGAGCTTGGGGTGAGGCAGTGGCAGTGGGAATGATGAGGGGAGGAGCTGGATTCAAGAGAGCGAGATAGGAAGTGAGGTTGATGGGATCCAGAGGCATTTGTCTTTTGGATGTGTGTGTTGAGAGAAATGGAAAACTCAAGAATGATGCCAGGTTTTGAACTGTGTGCTTTGCATTGTGAAATAATGAGTTACTGTGGTGGTGAAAGAAGCCAGATCACAGTGGGTTGAGGAGTGATGAAGAGATAAGGGAGTAGAACCACACGGTTAGACTCTGAAAATCTTTACTCAGAAGAAAATTGTAGGAGTCAGAGATGGGGTCTGTGAGATTGAGAGGAAAGATTTTTGTTTGTTGCTTTCTCTATAGGATGAAGAGACTGAAACAGTTTTATAGAAATCAAAACTCCTTAATGGAGTGGGGTTCCAAAGGAGATTAGAGACGATGTGTCAAGGGCAAAGGTATTGGCATTAAAGGAAGTATTTCAAATGATTGGTAGGCAGGTCTTATAAGAATTTAGAGGAATGGAAGAAAATTCTTTGGGAGTGGTCAGTCCAACTTGATGGAAAAAGTGAGATTTAAGTTGAATTTTGAAGGTTAGGTAATATTTTGATAGAGAAAAGGATGACTGTGTTCTAGAAAGGCAAAATTGTAAGGGACCAAAGTTGGGGAGTAAAAGGTGAGCTCAGAAGAAGGCCTGCGAGTCTCTTTAAGTGAGCAGTTTATATAAGGTCATAAGGAGATAAAAACGGAAGGATATATTGGCTAATTTGTTAAGGGCTTGATTTCTAGGCCAAGGAATTTGAGTTTTGAGCTGTAAGAGGTGGGAAGTCATTGATAGTATTGGAACACTACCCAGCATTCCAAGATTGACATTTTAAGAATATAACCTTTCAGGGAATGAATCTGGTCTAAGAGGCAAGATGATGAACTTGAGCATAAGAGACATTGTTGACAGGCAGTCAGGGGTGCTGCAGTAGTTCAGGTACGAGTTGATAAGGGCTGACCTAAGGTGATGGCAATGAAGGTGCAACAAAAAGAATTGAACAACAAAACAGTAAGAATAGGCAGAATTTAATGATGGATTGATGCATGATTAGACTGAGGACAAAAATCAGTCAACATAACTCTAAAATTATAAAAAGAAGCATAGTAACAGTTATTGGAAAATAATGGAGAGATTCTAAGAACCTTTCATTTGTTGAGACTTCAAATAAAGTGATTTTAATGTTTAACAGACCATTCATTTTCAGTGATTTTTAACAACTTCGTGTTTTCAGCTGAGGTTAATGTTTTTTTCCGACTTCTACCAGAAAGCAGGGATTACATTTCAAATGGACAACCATTTGCCAAACTTTGTCAATCTCAATGAAGATCCTCAGCTGTCGGAGATGCTTTTATATATGATAAAAGAAGGAGCAACTACAGTTGGAAAGTATAAGCCAAACTCAAGTCATGATATTCAGTTGTCTGGGGTGCTGATTGCTGATGATCATTGGTATGTTCATCTTAAAAAAAGCCACTTGTTCTTTTTCAGTTGGCTTCGGATTTTGGTAACATGTGATTACCTTCACATGAGGCATTCATTTACCCTGGTTATTTGGTATAAATCTTCAAATGTGTCTTTTAGCCAGGAAAATGTTTTGAGTGCATTGTAAGGATGATAGGTCAGTTATTGTCAATATGAAGCACTAAATAGTAATGCTTTTCTATGTGGTTGAATTGACAAATTTAAAATTTTTTCTTATGTGAATTTTATTCTTTGAACTGAATAGTTATATGTATAGCATATAGTACATATATAGTACAGGAGTGGCATGGTTTAGCACGTGTAAATTATTTTGCCTCATGTTTTAAGATTTATCCATGTTAATGCTCTGTTTGCATGCTGTGTTCTATTGTGTGACTTTGTTTTCTATTTTTTAGAATCTATTTTATTGATAGACACTGGGGTTGTTTTGAATTTTTTGCATCACAATTGGTGTATTGCTATGGGTATTCTTTTTTTTTTTAATTTTATTTTTTTCCCCTCACATCATTGTAGTTCCCGTAGTTCCCCCACCACTGCATCACCCATGCACCATCATCATCTACCCTTATGTTCATCCCTACCCTGTGGTAGTGCCCCCTCCCAGCCCCTCCTCTGCTGTATGCTTCAGTTCTGAGGTCAGCTGCTAGTTTTGACTTTTCTTGACCTTTTGTTTGGTTTCTCTATATTCCATATGTAAGTGAGACTATTGGTATTTATCTTTTTCCTTCTGACTAATTTTGGCTAGCATAATTCCTTCCAGCTCCATCCATGTTGTCACAAGTGGCATGACTTTGTCTTTTTTGATCACTGAATAATATTCCATTGTATAAATATACCACAGCTTTTTGATCCATTCATCTGTTTTGGGTTGTTTCTATATCTTGGCTATTGTAAATAGTGCTGCAATAAACACAGGAGTAGTCCAGTGTTTTAAATTAATGTTTTTGTGTCCTTTGGGTAGATTCCCAGGAGTGGAATTGCTGGATCGTATGGTAGATCTATCTTTAGTGTTCTGAGGAACCCCCACACAGCTCTCCATAGTTGCTGGCCCAGTTTACATTCCCACCAGCAGGGTACGAGAGTTCCTTTATCACTATGAGTATTCTTGTACATTATCTCTCAGTGCAAATGTGAGGATTATCTGGAGCAGGTTTCCCAGATGATAAGCAGAGGTGAGCACAGCCGTCATGAGCATGCCTAGCTGTATAAATAGTATGACTTTCTAATTATGATATAATAATTTTTAAAGCTTAGGGGCCTCCCTGGTGGCGCAAGGGGTTAAGATGCAACCTGTGAAGCTGTCTGCAGCCTCTGCAGCATGAGTTCGATCCCCAGCCAGGGAGCTACCCATATGGTGCAGCAGACTTCTCCTCGCTCGCCTGCTGTTCCCCTCAGCAGTGTGTTTCGGTTAATCTGCCTGTTCTGTTCCCCACTTTGTCTGTGGTGAATCCTCTCATTCCCCACACCTCTGGCCTGTACCCCAGTTCTTGTATGCATAAATAAATAAATCTTTAAAAAAAATAATTTTTAAAGCTTCGAAAGCACTCATATGTCTAAGAGTAGAAATACTAGATTGTAGAATATGTGGTTATTCAACTTTCCTATGTGATTTCAAATTGTTTTCCAAAATGTTTATCAATTTCCAATTCTGTTGGCATGAGGGTACCTATTACTTCATGTACTTGCTAACACTTGGGACTCTTAGACTTTCATTTATACCAGTAATGAGAGGTGAAATGGTATCTCCTTGTGGATGCATTTCATATCACTGATTATCTTTTCATGTATTCTTTGGCCATTTTGCTTGCTCTTTTATAACTGGAATGCTCATGTCTTTCGTTGATCTTTTTTTTTTTTTAGTAAGACTTTTTTTCTTGGCGATTTGTAGTTTTTTATATATTCTGGTTGCCAAATCTTTGAGTTTTGTGTTATAAATATCTGTTTTTCAGTGTGTGGCTCATTTTTCTCTGTTTTATAGTGACTCTTGATGGAGTAACAGCTTAATTTCATGGTGGCACTTGCATCAATCTTTTCCTTTAGGATTGTCAATTTTTGTGTCTTCTTGAAGAAATCCTTTCTACATTGAGGGCATAGAGATGTTCTAAATTTTTTTTAGATGTTTTAAATTTTTGCCTCACATTTAAGTTCTTAGCTAGTCTAGAATAGTTTTGTTTGGTGTGAAGGGAGGCTTACTTTACTTGTTTCCCATATGTATAACCAGTTCTACCAGAACCACATTGAATAATATATTACTTCTTTTGTTCATACAAAAAATTTCCCAAAATATGGGAGTTTGTTTCTTCCCAGTAACTCCCCTTGGCCTTAATTACTTGAGCTGTAGAATGTCTTTCTATCAGGAATGCATATCCACTGCCCTTCAGGTCCTTTTGTTCTTCTGTTAATTGTTTTCCACAACTAATGATTACAGTATTGCTTACATTAGGGTGAAAGAGGCAGAGATATCCCCAAATAGTTAAAAGTCAGGTAGGCTGTGAGCATCATGAGAGCTTGCTTCCTACCTATCTTTACTGCTGAGACTTATCTGGAGCATGGGGGCTTAATGAATAAAAGAACATCAGTACTCCTCAATGCATATTAATATTGCATGAGTCTTACTTTGTATTTAAAAGTGAAAGAAAAGCTCACTTTTAGCTTAAGCACTGAAGAAAAGCTTTTTAGAGGACTCTAGCCTTGAAGTTGCACCTTAAAGATGATGAAGACAGGGAGAGGACACCCTTTGATGAAGGGATGACTCAAAGGAAGGAAGCTGATCTGAGGCAAATTCTGTGTACTGATAACAAGGCTGAGTGAGTGTGAGGAGGGGTTCTTGTGGGAAAGTAGTGGTGAGTAAAGGAGGTTTGTGGTTGAAGCTAGATTGTGGGGTGTCCAGAACATTAGGCCAAGGAATTTTGACAGCAGAGTAGATAGAAATAGGAGAGGGAAGAGATCAGAACAAGTAGACATTATTTTAACCTTTGCGTAGTTAAGACAAGAGACTAGTGGGAGGGGCGAATTGCCCAGGTGGTGAGATATTTTCCTGAGATATTTTTCTCTTGATGCAATAATTGAACTATTATTATTTAACTATAAATCTTGGAGCCTGATCAAAAGCTAGAGCTGTTTGGTAAGGACTTAACTTTTGTTGCAGTTTTTTCTCCTTTTGTTCTATCCAGTTAATCCAGGTTAATTCAAAATCTAGTTGGAGGAGAACAAAATAATTTTAAGTCATTGTCATAAACTGATATGAATCTTAATACCTAAGGAATAACCCAAGTAGGATTATCCTGTATTGCCTTTTCCTTAGTTTTTAAGTCTGTCCTGGAATTGTGACAATGTGCTTCTTATCTTAACAGTACCATCAGAAATTTTGATGGGATAGTGAGTATCATCCCAGTTGGGGAAGCAAAGACTTACGTAAATGGAAAACATATTTTGGAACCCACAGTATTACACCATGTAAGTTGGCTGGTGCTAAAAAAGTAAGAAAGTTTTTGACTTTTGTAAGTAGTTTAATGTATTGGAATATGTTTCCTCATCTGTAAGAATATTAGTGAACTAGATAAGGACTTTCCAGTTTATAAATTCTCTAAGTCATTAATTGCCTTTCCTTATGTGAAGTCAAAAGTCGTATCACTATGAATCAGTACCTGAAATGCTGGCCACTGACATCAGTGTTACATGTCTGGGTTTTTGGAATCAGACCAGGCAGGGTAAAGCCTTGAATTAGCCATTTGTTCTGTGACCTTTGAAAATTTATTTAACTAGGGTGATTGAATGTCACCCAAGTCAGGACACTTTTGAGAACATATTTAATAATCACATTAGAAGAATAGGCACAAGCCAATTTGTTGCTGGCAAACCAAAATATATGATCACTTCATATGTACCCAGCCTTCCAGGGGTCAGGGGAGGATTAAATGTAATGATTTGTATATAATTCATAACAAAATGTCTGCAAGCAGTAAGCTCAATGAATGCTTATTATTAAGCTCTGTGCTCTTAGTTTCTCATTCCTAAAATTAGTGTGGTAATATGGATTTTATTGGATTGTGAAGTGTAAATGAGATAATGTATATGTAAAACCAGTTTACACAGTATAATGTATAGAAAATATTTAACGAATGTCAGTTGCTGTGATTTTTATGTTTATCATTAGTAATACTAGACTATGTTGAATTGTTGGCTATTATAATTACCCCTGTGTAATCTTTTGGTTTAGACTCAACTCAAGTAGTAAACTTTTTGTGTGCTTTAGGGTGATCGGGTGATTCTTGGTGGAGATAATTATTTTAGATTCAATCATCCAGTAGAAGTCCAGAAAGGCAAACCAACATTTGGTAGAGACACTCTTACGAGTGAGGGTCCAAAAGACTTTGACTTTGCAAAAAATGAATTGCTCATGGCACAGAGATCGCAGTAAGTATTATTGCTGATATGGAAAAGTGAAAATATTTGGGAAAAATCTACAGAGAAAGTTCGTCATGTGCTAGTTTTTAGTAGTTAACTCTTAGGATGCTGGTTTCTAGTGATGTAACCTTTATTCTTGGTATCATTCATTCAGTAAATATTTATTGAGCAGATATTATGTATCTGTCTCTGTAGTAGGTACTAGAAATACAAAGAATAACAGGAGGAATTTTTCATCTCAAAGGACTGACAGATCGACAGTAGTGACAGAGTGCATGGCAGAGCCCTGCATTCTGTGAAATTTAATAGGGGTGGGGGAGCTCCTGGCCCCAACCAGGAATCAGTGAAGGTTTCTAAAGAGTGAGACAATATCCCCTGGAACAGAGTCCCAAGAGACAATATTAGAAGTTAACCAGGAGAATGTATCCTTGTTTTTCTTTTCCTCTTTTGACCCAGTTTTAGCTCATGCAATATTGTAGGCTATAAACAGCGTCCTTGTAAACTAAATGGTAGATATAAAATGCTAATAAGTTTGGACTTTATCTTAAAGGATATAGAATCATTTAAGAATTTTAAGCAGACATGAATCAGACATGAGCAGAATTACATTTTAGATAATACATGACCCAAGTGTGGAAAACAGGTTAGTGGCAGAGCAAGTGAGAGGCTGCAAACTCAGTTAAGAGACTTTTTCAGTAAAAAGTGTAGTGTAGTTAGTTGAGTAGGAAAGACATAAGGAAAAAGAATCAGCAAGGCCTGATGATCAAAGAGAATAAAGGGAGGGGAATTAGAAATGATGCACGTGGGCTGAACTAACCCTGCCTTGTTATCTTAAAATGTCTTGCTTTTTTTAAATTGTGGTTTTATTTGTATATATAAATGGTTATATATATCTATATATATCAATAAAGCCCTTGAAGCTTGTTTAACTTATTTATTTTTTTAATATATAAAAAAGCCCTTGAAGTAGAACTCTGTGTGTGTGTGTGTGTGTGTGTGTGTACATATATAAAATTTACCATTTTTAAGCATGTAGTTCAGGGGCAGTAATTACATACACATTGCTGGGCAACCTTCACCACCACCCACCTCCAGAGTTTTTTGTCCCAAACTGAAACTATACCCACTAATTTGTAACTTCCTGGTCTTGTCTGTCCCCAGCCCTGGTACCCACCAGCCCTCTTTTGTCATTTCAATTCTATTTTTAGTAAAACTGGGAATGGAAATTTCTGTACAGTGCAATTGCTAAAGCATTGATTTTCTTGAGAAAAAAGAAATTTTTAGCTTCCTATAATTATTGCATATTGAAATGTTTTGACTTCACAAAACATCAAATTATTTGTAGATGGTTGAAAATACATGGTACAGTCTCTGCTTTATCAACTTTCATATCATGTGCTTTTTGAGCCACTACAGTATTTTCATAATCTATGACCTGAACATGAATTGAAAGGCATCCACATATAAAATAATTATAACTTATTTTGTGTAGTATTTACTGCAGTAGTCACAAAAACATTTTTTTTTAATTTTTTTTAACATTTATTTATTTATTTATGCAAGCACTGGGTAGAGTCAGAAGAGCGGGAGGGTGAGAGAATTCACCAGAGCCAGAGTGGGGAACAGAACAGGCAGACTGACAAAATACACTGCTGAGGGGAGCAGTGGGTGTGGCAGGAGAGGTTTGTCGCGCCATGTGGGACCCTTGCCGGCGGCTGGGGATCGAACCGGCACTGCAGAGGCTGCTGGCAACTTCGCAGCCCAGTGCTCAACCGCTGCGCCACCAGGGGAGGACCCACAGTAACATTTTTATTTAACTTATTTTTCTTAAGCATTAGAAAAATATGTTTACTTAAATATCTGTAATAGTAACAAGTTAGAAATTAACAGATTTTCATTCTTTTATATTCTAAAGCTAATAAAACTTAAGAAAGAAAACTATTGACAAGTTTTGAGGTTTAAAGTTTTGTTTAATGGAAAACATTTTAATATGATTAAGTATTATGGTATGGAGAGAATTCATAACAGTGTATCCTGTAAATGTTTTTTCTACTTCTTAGACTTGAAGCAGAAATAAAAGAGGCCCAGTTGAAAGCAAAAGAAGAAATGATGCAAGGAATCCAAATTGCAAAAGAAATGGCTCAGCAAGAGCTTTCTTCTCAAAAAGCTGCATATGAAAGCAAAATAAAAGCCCTTGAAGCAGAATTGGTAAAAGACAGAATTGTTTTTTTCTTTCTCTGCTAGTGCACCCCAAGTGATATGTTGACTGCAAACTGATTTTATCTCTGGAAGGGATCTGAAGGAGTATCCAAGATTAAAGAGTCAGAGCCTCAGTGAGCTGTAGCTTTCTTTAAGTTTACTTTAGGAGGCAGACTGGGAGTAGACAAAAGGCTGCTGCAAGAAGAAAAGTAGGTGAACTTCTGTCTTCTGCCACTTGAGCCAGGACTCTGTCCATGGGTTTCTGGCCATCTTACCTTCCCAGAACCCATTTTAGAGGAGAGTGCTCTGAGAGGCTTGACCAGTGATGCTTATTTTTAGGTGGATTACTGAAGTTGATGAGGTGGAAAAGCTATAGTGAATCTTTTCTACTAGTCAATTTTCTGTGCCTTGATTAAAGAAAGGGATTTGGTACATTTTTGGTATTATTTTTGAAAAACTACTTTATACTTTTGCTCTAATTATTTTTTATTGTTTTTTAAAGAAAGAAGAGTCTCAGAGGAAGAAAGTGCAAGAGATAAATAACCAAAAGGCTAATCACAAAATCGAGGAGTTAGAAATGACAAAACAACGGCTTGAACAGGAAATATATGTCAACAAAAAGCGATTAGAAATGGAGGCTTTGGCAACCAAACAGGTAATTGTGTTTGGCCAATTTACTCTGTTCTGAGGAAAAGCTGGATTTTTCAAAAAGAATTTATGATGCCTTGACGGGAAATGGCCAGGTCTAGGTCTCCAGATGAGAAGGGCTCTTCTTGCCTGGAAGCTTATGTCCTGGTACTGCTCGCATCTGCTTGTATGTCCCACAGATAATTTGAAACTGACAGCTATTCTTTCCAGCTAGATCTGTTCCAGTCTTCTTTTTATTTATCAAGTACTATTTTGTGATAAGTCATGTCAAATAATGTAAGGAAGTGAAAAAGGCACATACAAGAAAGACATACCTTTTATACTGGGCCACCTCTTGATGACAGAAGAAAGCATTATCTGCCCACAGAAAGTGCAGCAAACAGACTGCTTAGCTAAGTAACTGCTAGGAGAACTCAACAGTGGGACACCCGTTACCTTTGTCTTATGAGCTCAGGCATTGAGAACAGAAGCATCTTTTGTGGCCTGACTCATTAAGCAAGTTCACAAGACTGAAGTATAAAACTGGCATGTTGGTATATTAATATTTGTATATGCCTTTCTGCCAACCTTTCTGACCAATCTTTCTATGTTGGTGTTTCTTAAAATGTGCTACCTAGCACCATCAAAATTACCTGATAGAAAAACAGATTCTTAGGTATGTAGATTCCTGAAATACTGAAACAGAAAACATTCTTCTGGCCAGGTGTAGGGCCCAGAATCTTGTTTTAATCAGTCCTGCAGGGGATTCTGCTGAGCACTAGTTTGAGAACCACTGTTTTAATCTCTGCTTTGGTCGCTTATATCTTAAAATTTTACTCTCAAAAGGCAATTTTATTTCTTTTTCTCCAATTTTCTTTTCTTTTTTTATTTCTTTTTTCTCCATGCTGTGCATGGGGGTGGAAAAATGCAAATAATTGCAAGGTATTGATACTGTAACATGGTGATAATACATATAGAAGCCTGCTCTAGGGCACAATGGCTAGTGGGCCACCTGAGAGTTTTAGGAGAAAAACATAGACCTGAAACAATTATTATTAGTGGGTTATTACGAGGCTTATTTGTGTCAAATGAGGTATTTTGGTGGCCTTTAAATTAAATTATTTAGTCAACAAATGTTCCTGAATGTGGGCTTTTTTTTTTTTTTTTTTTTTTTGAGCAGTTTTTCCCTTTTTCTTTTGTAAAGATTTTCATGCTTCCTCTCAGTGGAAAGAAAAGGATTAATCTGCCATCATAAACTCTTAATGACTTTGTTGTTGGGGAAGCCATAAAGATATTTTATAATCATTTCTTAAAAGCCCTTAATGCATAATAAAACATGTTAAACATGTACAGTTAAAAATACATGTACTGCAAAATGAGACAATTGTAGTGTGTTATCATTATCAGTTTTGTTTTATAACTTCTCTCTTTACATACTTCATGTTTGGGTCTATATGAATGAATATCAATTAGGCTTTAGAAGACCACAGCATTCGCCATGCAAGAATTCTGGAAGCTTTAGAGACTGAGAAACAAAAAATTGCCAAGGAAGTACAAATTCTACAGCAAAATCAGAATAATAGGGATAAAACTTTTGCAAGTGAGTATATGATGATTTAGCAGGAATTTTCTAAAGTTATGTATGTTATTTCATCTAATTACCAAACTGTTAAAGTTTGTTGCCTTAGTGTTTACCATATTTCATTCTAGATGAAATACCATATTTCATTCTATTTCATTTTGACTTTTTTGGAGCTACAGAAATTTGTATGAATGATTGTTTTTAGAATATTAAGTTTGTAGAATATTTAGTTATATAAACAAATAATAAAAATCTCTAAATACTATTTTACTGTGTAACAGCTTTTAAAAATATCTTATTCTGATCCTAAATTCTTATGTGATAACTAGGTTGTGCTTAATCATTGGGTACTACATTTTCCTACTCACTTGGACATGGTTTTTTGTATTTCTGCATGTCTATGTAGAACAGAGCATGTTTTTGTTTGTTTTTTAAAAAGATTTATTTATTTATTTATACAAGAACCGGAGTACAGGCCAGATGCATAGAAGGGTGAGAGAATTCACCGGAGACAGAGATGGGAACAGAACAGGCAGACTGACGAAATACACTGCTGAGGGGAGCATCGGGTGCGACAGGAGAGGTCTGCCACACCATGTGGGACCCTCGCCGGCTGGCTGAGATCGAACCAGCGCTGCAGAGGCTGCGGACAGCTTCACAGCTCTGCTCTCAACCGCCTGCACCACCAGGGGAGGCCCCACAGCATGTTTTTAATGTCAACATTTTTTCGTTATGGAAAATTTCAAACAAACTATAAATGTAGCCAAATTACTACAAATAAATCCTGATGTACTTATCATCTAACGTCAGTCATCAATCAGTATATGTTCAGTCTTATTTCAGTTATGCTGGATCCCACCTGGACTATTTTGAAGCTCATAGTCTCAGATATCATATTTGCAAAATATTCCAGGTATTTTATATTTGATCTGTAAATACTTCTTTAAACTAGACAAGAACTCCTTTCTCTGTTATGCTTTTAATCCTGACCATATCACCATACCTAAATCATTAATAATTTCTTATATTCATTTAATATCTAGTTCATATTAAAATTGCCTGAATTATTTTGAAGAAAATTTATTTCCTTTTCTTTTCTTATCATGCAAGTTAGAACTTCCAGTAGTAATTTAACAGGAATGGTGGGAACAAACATCCTTGCCATCTTCCCAGTCTCGGGAGGAAAGCATTCAGATTTTCCCATAAAATGATTTTTGGCAGCAGTTCCTCACATTGAGGATGTTTGCTCATTTTTCTAAAATTCTTAAATCCTGAATTAATGCTGAATTTTTTCAAATGCCTTCTGCATTAGTGATATGCTATTTTTTTTCTCCTTCAGTCTGTTAATGGATTACATTGATCAATTTTAAAAATTAGGAAAAGAGTAGGAAAAAAGATAATTGTTAAAGATATTTGATAGAAAAGCATTGTTTTTGGCATTTGCTCTCCTGTAAAAACTTTATTCTCTTGAGATCAGTCTCAGTTTGCTCCCATTCCCCTGTAGGAGAATGACCTCATTTTATATGAAGAATATTTTATTTCACCAAAGGGGGTCAAAGCATAGTTAGGAAGTTCACTCAAATATGACCCTTACCTTTTGCAATAGCTAGTTAAAACTATTCATTTAAAATTAATCCTGGGCCTCCCTAATGGCGCAGGTGGTTGAGCACAGAGCTGTGAAGCTGTCTGCAGCCTCTGCAGTGCTGGTTTGATCCCTGCTGGCCTCGGAGCAACCCACATGGCAAGGCAGACCTCTCCTGCCTCGACCATTGCTCCCCTCAGCAGTTATTTCGTCAGTCTCCCTGTTCTGTTCCCTGCTCTGTCTCTAGTGAATCCTCTCACCCTCCCGCACATCTGGCCTGTATCCCGGTTCTTGTATAAATAAAATAAATCTTTAAAAAAATAAAATAAAATTAATCCTTTCTTTCCCCAGAAGTTGTTCTGTCTAGTGATATATGTTAGTGTTTTTATATATATATATATATATATATATATTCTGAATCTTTGTGCTTTCTTTTAGTTCAGCCAAACTGGAGTTCCATGAAACTCTCAATGATGATTCAGGAAGCCAATGCCATCAGCAACAAATTTAAAAAATATTATGTTTTCAGCAGGTGAGTGTTAATAATACAGATTGTAGAGTAATTTTGTTTTAAACTAGTTAACCTTCACATAGATTAATTTTTTAAATTTAGTTTCTCTAAAGACATGGTATTCTACTTTCTTGCCTATCTACGAAAGAGCAGGTATCAGACTCCCCAGTGACACCCTTAACACTTTTATGTAAGTTAGTTTTGTATAGTATATACTGGACATGAATATTACTATTATAAAAACACTTAACCATGGAAAGATTTAATTATGAAATCTAATTCTGAAATCTAATTCAGAAAACTTTGTATGAATAGGTATGTATGTTTCAGAATAACTGTTTCTCTTTCATTTTTCTGTCAGACATGATTTATCAGAGAAAGGAAGTTCTGGCCTATCTATTCGGGTTCGTAACCTACAACTAGGAATCTCAACTTTCTGGAGTTTCGAAAAGTTTGAATCTAAGCTAGCAGCAATGAAAGAACTTTACGAGGTTTGGAATATTATTAAAATCTCTACACACTTTTTAAAAGTTACTTAACTGAGTAAGTTACATTAACTTCTCTTAACTGAGAAGTTAAGAAAATTTGGCAAATGAAAGACTATATTACCCAAACTAACCTACATTAATAACTGTGTATATTTACTTCTGCAGATAAAGCAATTTTATTGGCTTATTTTAATATAGTTAAAACTGTAACCTGGAAGTTTAGTACTGAATTTATTCAGTTATAATTGTGTTTTTAAAAGTTTCCATTCAAGCTTCAAGGAAGACGACATTTGATAGACATAAAGCAGTTTGCATCATGTGAAATTTTTTCTATACCTTAAAAAGATGCGTTTTTATGTGTTTTTTTTTTTATTGCTATGTTTTTGGGTGTTTTCAATTATTTGCTGTTTTTAATAATGTCAACTAACAATATCTGTGCACATAATAAATTTTAATCTTATTTTCTAATGGAACCAAAAATAATGAAGTTTTATTGTGCTTTGCCTGCTGACAAATTATTTGCCAAAAATAATGCTGTTTATTAATGTTATCAGTTTGTTTTAATTTTATTTTAAAACTAGTGAATCTGAAAACTTGATTCTTTTTTAAAGTACTTGTTTTCTATCCTTTGAAGAGTCTGGCAAGTGATTGTTAACTTTTTTGAGGGCTTTATTTTGTTGCACAAACATTTTAAATTTTGCGTATTTGAATCTATTACTCTGGAGATCTTACTGGAACATTGCCCAATTCTCTGCATTAAAAAAGAAAATTTTAAGTATTTACATCTTTAGTCAAACAGGATTTATTATGGTGTTTTGTGAGAGAGGTGAATGTAAAGTAAATTTTTCTCCATATTATTGTCCCTAAATTAGTAAATAGTTGCAGCTTGTATTAATTATTGCTACTGTTTGTCAAAATACCACCTTTAAATATTGTTACTCTATATGAAATCATATCCTGTACTAATTAGATAATATGTAGATATGTAAAAACTTACAGGATGCTGCCACATTAGTATAAATGCTTGAATTCTTAAGTGGAAAAATGAAAATAAATAGTTAGCTTAGGAAAATAAACAAAGGAAAGCAATAATAATAATTAAAAATAAAAATAATAATGAATTAGAGATTAATAAACCCAACCTCTGATTCTTTGAAATGATGAATATGTGATTTTAGGATTGAGAAATGGCATTAAATAGAGATAACACAAAAGCTTTTTAATCTTATGTTAGATATAAAATTTTATGCTACTAAATTTGAAAATTTTCTAGGAAGTAAACTTTCTGTAGAAAGAGATAAATTATGAAATTTGACTTAAAAGATGAATAACCATTCAAAAATTGAAAAGTTTATCAATGAAATAGTCTCAAAAAAAAATTAGAAAAAATAAGGTGCTGTTCCCAGTCGTTTTTTTATGGGTAAACTCTTTTAAACCTCCGAAGAGTAGATAATTCTTTCCCCATTTAAACTATTCTAGAACAGGACCTTCCTGGTGGCACAAGGGGTTAAGTTGCAGCACTATGAAACTATCCACAGGTACTGCAGCATGAGTTTGATCCCTGGCCAGGGAGCTATCCATATGGCACAGCAGACCTCTCCTGGCTCGCCCAATGCTCCCCTCAGCGGTGTGTTTCGGTCAATCTGCCTGTTCTCTTTCCCACTCTGTCTCTGGTGAATACTTTCACCCCCTACACCTCTGGCCTGTACTCCAGTTTGTATGCATAAATAAATAAATCTTTTTTTTTTTAAAAAAATCTATTTCTGGAGCATAGCAAAAAATATTGTCAGTTCTTTTTATTATTATTATTTTAATTTTATATATTTTTATATCATTTTTCATTTTTGGACAATGTATGCATTTTCATCTTGGTTATAGTCCCCATACAATTCCCACCCCCCCCTTCTTTTGATTGTACTCCCTTTCCCCCTTCCCCCCCATAGTGTATCTCTGGTTTGTAGTTGCTTGTTGATTTTGATTTTTACTTTATTATAGTTAGTCTTTTTCCTGGTCCCTTATTTAGGTTTTCTAAATTCCTGCTATGAGTGAGACCATCTGTTATTTTTCTTTTTCTTTCTGGCTTATTTCTCTGAGCCTGATCCCGTCCAGCTCCATCCATGTTGCTGCAAATTGCATGAGTATATGTTTTTTGATTGCTGAATAATATTCCATTGTGTATATGTACCACGTCTTCTTGATCCAGTCATCTATTTGGGCATTTGGATTGTTTCCATAGCTTAGCTATTGTAAATAGTGCTGCTATAAACATAGGGGTGCTGGTGCCCTTTTGAATTAATGTTTCTGTGTCCTTTGGGTAAATACCTAGGAGTGGAATTGCTGGATCATATGGAAACTCCATCTTTAGCAGGTTGAGGAATTTCCACACAGCTTTCCATAGTGGTTGGACCAGTTTGCACTCCCACCAGCAGTGCAGGAGAGTTCCTTTTTCTCCACATCCTCACAACATTTGTTGTTGCTAGTTTTTTTTAATATGTGCCATTCTCACTGGTGTCAAATAGTATCTCATTGTAGTTTTGATTTGCATTTCCCTGATTACAAGTGGTGTTGAACATTTTTTCATATGCCTGTTGGCCATTTGCATTTCCTCTTCAGAGAAGTTTCTTTTTAGCTCTTCTGCCCATTTTTCTTTTTTTTAAGATTTATCCATTTATGCATACAAGAGCTGGGGTACAGGCCAGAGATGCAGGGGATGAGAGGATTCACCTGAGACAGGGTAGGCAACAGAACAGGAAGACTGAGTGAAATACATTGCTGAGAGGAGCAGCAGGTGAGACAGGAGAGGTCTGCTGTGCTGTGTGGGTTGCTCCCTGGCCAGCTGGGGAATCGAACTTGTGCTTCAGAGGCTTCGGATTGCTTCATAGTGTGGTGCTTAACCCCTTGCGCCACCAGGGAGGCCCACTTCTGCCCATTTTTTTGACTGGATTATTTACTTTGTTTTTGTTGAGCCTCATCAACTCTTTGTTAATTTTTGTGATCAGTCCTTTATCATTAGTGTTGTGTGCACAAACACACAAACCAATGGAACCGAATAGAAAATCCAGAAATAAACCCACAGATTTATGGTCAACTAATCATTAACAAAAGAGCGAAGACTATGCAATGGAGCAAAGAAAGTTTGTGCAATAAATGGTGCTGGGAAAACTGGGTTACTACATGCAAAAGAATGAAGCTTGACTACTACCTCACACCATGCACAAAAAACAACTCAAAATGGATTAAAGAACTGTACATAAGACCTGAAACCATAAAATATGTAGAAGGAAATAGAGGCAAAACACTACATGACATGCACATCAAAGACATCTTTACAGACACATCACCCAAAGCAGTGATAGTGAAGGCAAAGATAAACAGCTGGGACTACATCAAATTAAAGAGCTTCTGTACAGCAAAAGAGACAGCAATCAAAACAAAGAGACACCCCACTGATTGGGAGAAAATTTTTGCACACAATACGAATAATAAAGGACTGATTTTTTTTTTTAAAGATTTATTTATACAAGAACTGGGGTACAGGCCAGAGCGCGGGAGGGTGAGAAAATCCACCAGAGAGAGAGTGGGGAGCAGAACAGGCAAATGGACCAAAAACTTTGCTGAGGGGAGCAGTGGGCGAGACAGGAGAGGTCTTGCCATGTGGGTATCTCCCTACCCATCTGGGAATTGAACCCGAAGCTGCTGACAGTTTCACAGTGCTGTGCTCAACCCGCCATGCCACTGGGGAGGCCCATGTCAGTTCTCTTTTGGTGCTGAAATAACTGATGTAACACAAAACAAACTCACAAAGACTGAAAAGATTACTCAAGAGAATTGTAAACCAATCTTAATATGAACAGAACTATAAAAACCATGAATGAAATATTAGTAAATCAAACCCAAAATATGAAGACTACTTTAAAGGTTAATTCCAAGAATGTAGGGTGTGTTCATAACAGAAAATCCAAAAAGATTGAAAGGAATCAGACCAAAACACTGACAGTGCTTATCTCTAAACGATGAGTGTGTAGTGTCTTATATTTTATTCTTTGTGTTTATTTGTATTTATCATTCCCAAACTTCTACAATGAATGTGAATTAGTTATATAATTAGAACTGCAAAAATATTGGTGAGTTACCCTTATTATCACCTTCCTACTTTCAACTCTTCATTGCACTGTTCTTTGATTATTTTTCCATATAAGTATTCTATTTCTCTACATAGTATTTTGTAGAAATTTAATTGGCTTTGCTTTAAATATTTAAATTAAAATATAGGTGATTATCATGATCAATATATTCAACCAGGAAGTGATTGATTCTTAATATTGTCATTATTTTTTATGTCTCTCCAGAAGGTTTTATTCTTTTTTCTTTACTATGTTTCCTAAATACCCACTTTATTACTTCTGAATTATTTAATGATTTCTGTTGCTTTTATTGGTAGATCTCTTTTAATATAACTCCTAGCATCATGTGATTGATTTCTTATTTTATTAGGGATGTGATTATTTCATATAACCTAGAGTTCATTTTATGTTTCAAATGTAGCATAGTAAGCATATTTCTTAGTTGCTAAGCATTTTTTTAAATAAATTTTATTTTTATATTCCCCATACAATTGCAAACCCCTTATTTGACCCCAACCCCTCCCCTCCCCACCCCCCACCCCCCATAGAGTGTCTCTGGTTCATAGTTTTTTGTTGATTTTGATTTTCACTTTCTTATAGTTATTCATTTTCCTGGTCCCTTATTTAAGTTTTCTAGATTCCTGCTATGAGTGAGACCATCCGGTATTTTTCTTTTTCTTTCTGGCTTATTTTGCTGGTTGCTAAGCATTTTTAATCCATAGTTAATAGCAATTGTATATTTTGTTTTTCTTAGAGTAATAATAGTAGTAAGAGTGAAGATGTCTTTTGTGATCCTGAAGATGAATGGGAACCTGACATTACAAATACTCCAATTTCTTCATTTTCTAGAAGGAGGTAAAGACATATTAGTTATTGGTTTTCTTGTTCTGGGTATACATATATATCATTTCCTTATTTTAAAAGAACTGTCCATTGTCATGATGGATATGTCTATGAAGGGAACCCAGTAATATAAGAGAAATAGTATGTTAGTGATCAAATTACAGCACTTAGAGCATTAAATTGTTTGTCAGTCAGTTAGAATAGGAACAAATACTGTTTAGTGTTTCACCATTTAAGTCTTAAGAGAAACTTAGAGGAGCATAAATCTAATTTCCTATAAACACGAACAGTGTTTATAACTTTTAAATTACCCTTTCTCAAGAACTTGGCATAGTCTATGATATTTTATTGTAAGTTATAGAATTTTAAATGCAGTCAAGTTAGTATGAGCACCACAGAAGGATAAATCATGATGACAGAGAACTTCTATATATGACAAATGTTGCTTATTAACTACAAACATAAAAGGCTTTCACAGTGAATAGATGCTTTTCAAGGAAATACTAGTCCTGCTTAGACCTCTGATGCTTCGATTATAGAAAGGCAAAATGGCATAACAGAAAGGCCTTAGTCTTGGAAACAATTTAGCTTCTCAGTTTGGTTTTTAAACAAATACTTCTTTTTAAATAAATATTTATTAGTTGGGTTCTTAAACAAGACTACTGTCTGCCATGTCCTGAGAATACAAAGATGAATAAAAATAACTCCCTGTCCTCAAGGACCAGGAACTGAGGAAACTAGAGGCAGCTGATAAAGACCTGAATTAAGGTCAGGTCGAAGGACGGGGGAGCAGAGTCGGGCTTTATATGTAATCAAGAGGCAGAATCAGCAGGACTAGGCTGCTAGTGGTAGGGTTGTGGGTGATGAAAGATGAAGGATGAATCCTGGTTTTCATTTGGACAACTGACTGGAGGAAAGTGGAGGGTAAGATGAATTTAATTTGAACATGATGGGTTTGAGGTTCTCAGGGGACATCCAGATATAGTACTTTGATGGAGGATTTTGGGAAACTTCAGGACATGATGGTCCATGCCATTCATGCAACAGAAGTGTTATCATTATCCAGAACATTTATGAGTGCTTGCTAGGCATTATCTCATTTAGTACTTACCACAAAATGTGAAGCTGGTGCTGTAGGTACCCCCATTTTACAGATGAAGAAACTGAGGATTTAAAGAGGTTAAGTAACTTGTACAAAGTCACAAAACTGATAAGGGAAGAGTGGCATTCAAATCTAGGTTTGAGTGACTGCATAGTCCCTGATATTTTTGATTGCTAAACCATAGGCCTCTCTGTGGCATGTGAAAGGATGGTAACTTTTTCTGGTGAAATAGTTTATTTTAAACACCGTCGCCTTTGACTGCAGCTCAGAATCCTTTTGGGTTTCCAAACCTTTTTGGGCCTCTCTTATTTTTGACTATTCTTATTTTAAACTCATTTATAAAATCTCTGAGAAATGAGACAATTTTATGGTGACACTTTCCTATTACTTCTGCATTAATTGCTGTATGCTAACTGTTATGCTGCAGAAGGAAATAGCCAACGCATAACGATCTGGACATTTATGTTAAGTGTGTGCACATAGTAGCTGTGTACTTCAAGCTGAGAGAAATACAGAGCATGTTCTTTAAACAGATTCTGAGTTCCTTGCATATAGGGAGCATCTTCACAGCCCCTATAATGTAGTATAATAAAAAACAGTCACTAGCTCACATCAGAGTCCTGGGTTCTCATCTGTGCTCCTTGTGACCATGGGCAGGAACATTACATCTTTAGACTTAAGATTTCTCATCTGTAAAATGGACGCAGTAGTATAGACCACTCTACCAAACTTATCATTAATGTGAGTGAGATCACAGAAAAGGCAGCTGCTTCTGCTGCTACTTCGATGACCACTATGAGCCTGATGAAAATGATGTTGCATGTTTGTGATATGGATTAGAAATAAACTATATCAAGTCCCTACTATAGCGACTGGATGTTCAGTAAATGACAACTCTTGTTTTTATTAGAAGTTTAATATATTAATATATATTGACAATAATATATACTGACTAAAATTAAGAGGATATATATAATTTCTGAACTAACACCAATAAACAGATAATGATATCTTCAGATGTTTGTCTTGAGAACTGCAAAATAGAGTTGGACTCTGGCACTACAATGTAGCGCTACATATGGCCCAAGTGTGGAACTAGATGGAGTGCTTGGATGCTTAAACCAACCTAGAGCAATACAAGCCTCCCAAAATTCAAACCGGAACTACGGATTCATCAGAGAGTGATTTATAAATCTCTTTGGATTTGAGAATGAATGGTTGCTTCTTCTTTTTTATTATAAACAAATATAAACTTTATGTACTTAGAATTATGGAATACAATATGAGCATTTGTAATAAATTGAACATTCAAAATTTAGCCTCATAAAAGTTGAGTATCTACATCTTATTTCTCATTAACTTTTAGGGGAATGATGAATCAACAGAAATTCAATCAAGTCTTCTCAATATTTTCTAAATTTTGAAATTAGGTGTTTTCATTTGGCAGAGATGTTTTTGAGAACTTCTATAATTGAAAGTATAATTTTTTTCGGAAAATGAATTGCTCTTGGTCAGAGACCTTGTATATGAAGTTTCAGCCTTGTGAGAATGTTTATGACAGAATTGCAAACTCTATGAATGGCTGCAGGTAACGGAAACACTGACAGATCCTTAATTATGGAACTGCTAGTGGGCAATGATCTGCCACCGTTGTTCTGCAATAAAATAGACTAGTATGGCTGCCTGTAAATTTCAATATGTACTGTTGACAGTTAAAAGTAAAATTTCTCCCAAAGTTAAGTAAAAATTCTTTGAAAGGAATGTGGCAAGTTTCTCCTTTATTTGAGTTTAAACATTGTTTATCTAGAATAGGGTGGAAAGACTAAGTTTTCCTAGTTTAGACTTATTGTGACAATGTACCCTGTCCTTTTACTACAATTATAAAAAACTTGTCACCTACGAGAACTGATATTTTCTCTCCCTATTATCAGTCATATTTCTGTGTTTTTCTTGTAGGAATTCCTGGAGAAATTTGGACTATTACAGATAGAATGCTTTCTTTTAACCATCCTTTCAGCAAATGGTTTTCTGTAAATAGCCAGCAGGAATAGACTGTTCTGTTAGGAAAAGAATCCCTTGGATTTTGCTCTAGGTCACAGCTCAAGAAGTTTACAGGGTCTTGAGTTGGAGTTATAGAAAATTGATAGATGAATGACAGTTGGGAACTGGCTGCTGGTTTCCACAGAAGCAGTTATGGAGAAAATAACAGCCATACAGCCAATCACACTCAAGGCAGAGGTTTGACTATGTCAGTGGGCTGAAGAAAAAGCAAAAGAGTGATTGAAGAGAGAATTTCCTACACATGTGCTCTGCTACACTTTACAGGGATTATGCTTTTCACACTATAGAAATATTTACTTAGATGCTTATTTACCTAGATCCTTTCCCTGTTCAAAATCCCTTCCAGGGTGAAATCCAAGCTTCCTTTATTGGCAACCACTTTCAGCCTCCAGCTGGTCCTGGCACCTCTGCCTCAGACCTTACCTCTCGTTCCTGTCCTGGCCTGGGCTCCTTTTGAGCCTGCTTAGGGTCTTTGCTTGCAGTGCTTTTTTTCTTCCTGGGGCACCCCGCTTCCTCCCCATTCACCTGACTCCTCCTGTTCTGCAGGGCCACTTCCCCTGGAAGCCCTCTGCCGCCTTGGGCCAGGCCAAGTTCTTCACCTGAGTCACCACAGTGCTCCATGTGCTCTTAACACTTATCACTTTATCGTAATTATTTGCTTAATTTCTTGCCTTACTTTTGGACCTTAAGTTCGGTGAGTTCAGGAACCACGTTTGCTGCAGCATCCAGAGCCTACAGATAGTCACCCTCATGAGTACTTACTCACTCTGTGCTTAGAACAATACCTGTAAATTGTAAATTTCTTGCTCAATGAGCCACATGAACTTAATCAACTCTTGATAAAAATGTTTCCTTGAAACATGCATGCCATATCTATTTTCCCTAGTAAATTGAAAATGTTCTCAGTGATATTGCTTAATATAGCATATAACTACTCATCTTATGGATTTACCTTTTTTAGGAGCAGGAGTTTGATGAAAAATAGAAGAGTTTCTGGTTGTTTACATGACATACAAGTCCACCCAATTCAAAATTTGCATTCTTCTCATTCATCAGGTAATTTTTCATCAAATTTCTTGTTACTGAGAAAAGCATCAAGTGCTGTCCCTACCACCACCTGGTTTCATGTTCTTGTGCAAACCATTTTATTTCTACAAGCTTCCATTTTCTTTGTTAAATGAGGGGAATGGACTGGGTAGCCACTTCCAGTTCTAAAATTTTGACTGCCATTTATTTCAAACACTTTTAATAGAGAGGCTAATACAAATATGGAAGACATGAGAATGTGTCCAAAAATGGATTTTAGAATATTATTTTCTTATTAAGTAAAAAAAGCAAAGTGGAAAAGTTTATATATATCCTGGAGAACAGGAGGAGTCAGGCGAATGGGGAGGAAGCAGGGTGCCCCGGGAAGAAAGAAAAGTTGATTAATATCCTCTCATTTCTGTAAAGGAGAGAAGAAAAGAAGATACAGACATGGATGTTTATAAAAGAATATTTCTGAAGAAACTAGCCCATCAGTTGTAGGAACATTCCCATTTGTGAGAGTGTTGGTACGGAAAGAAAGAGCCAGAAAACTAATCTTGTATATTGAGAGTCGTCATACTCCTATGTCAGCATTCTAGGATAAAGTTATTTCCAGAGGTTCTAAACAAGTTCTTTGAAGCTTTCCCACTTACTTCTGGTTTGGATAGTGCTTAGAAAATTATGCTGAGTCTGTCTTCCAGAGATGATATATTAACTATAAACAGTCATTGATTTTATCCTATTTTGATCATGGTCTATCCAGAGAAGGAACTGCTCTAGAGATACTGAGACATTTCTTCTATCATTGCTTGCTTTTCCAGTTTGTGAATGTATTAAACTTATTTATATGATGATATTGATATTTACTATATATTAATTTCTGTATCTGCCATTATTTTTACCAATTCACATTTCCTTAGGTGTTACCAAAAAGTAAGTAAATAAGGAGTTTAAGATTAAGGCAGTGATTACATAGGATTTTTTTGTTTTATTTTGTTTTTAATTTTATTTATGTGTTTTTACATCTTTGTTCATTTTTGTACAATGTTCGATTTCTCCTCTCAGGTTTGTCCCCATGAAATTCCCACCACCAAGACACCTGTGAACCATCACCACATACTCTTGTGCTCTTCCCTCCTGTTTTGAGCTCTCTCTCTCTTCCTCGCTGAGTGTCTCCCATTCATACTTTGCCTGCAGTTTTGTCATTTTTTTTCACATGGAGTATTTGGATTCTCTGTCATCTGTATTGCAGTTGAGCAGCTACTGACCCATGATTGATGCCGCTGAGAGGTTAATTGATTCCTTTATGGAATAGATTTGCCTTTGGCATATAGGCATCAGGATGTCTTAAACTAAGGGTAGATTACTTCTAATTTATAGAACAACGATTGCATAATATGCTTACATTTATATATTTGTTTGAAAGTATTATGCCTGAAAATTAAGACTTAAATGGCTATTTTCTATCCATGTAGGTTTAACGGAGAAATCAAGCACCATTTCCTCAAATTCAGCAGAATCATTTCTTCCTGGAATTTGCAAAGAATTGATTTGTTCATCATTAGACTTTCTTGGACAGAGTTATGATGAAGAAAGAACCACAGCAGACAGCCTGATTAGTAATTTTCTTAAAATTTATAATGGGCTATTTTGCATTAACAAAGCTTATGAAGAGCAAGATGAGGAAAGTCAAGAGAACTGTAAGCAACCTCACTGCTTTTATTAACTCATGTGGATGATGATTTTTTGCACATTGCTTTTTGTTTTGAATGACTACTTGTCCCATGTGACATGCATTTTCTGACCAGGTTAACATGTTTTAATGGTAATCAAGCATGAGTTCTTTGTTTTGGAGATTATTTCTTCCAATAATTTTCCTTCTTCTTTCAAAGTGCTCTCATCTGATCGAGCAACCCAGTCGCTTATTCTCCAGGTCACATGTGCTTTTGGGCACCTTACGGTGCTACTCAAGCACTGGCTGAGTGACATCCCACCTGCAAGCAGCACAGCGAGACTCGAAGATGAATTAAGACAGGAAGTGACAAAACTAGGAAGCTACTTACAGTTATTTTTGCAGGTGAGTTGGTTTGCTGGTTCTCATTTGCAGAATTCGTCTGTTCACAAAACATTTATTGATTTTCTACTGCCTGCATCTTCCCCAAAATCAGATATGTAGGATTTTCATAATTGATTTCTGTTTTGAAATTCAGAGACTAAGGCTTGAGATAATTGATTAACTGAACCAAGACCTTCTATAGCTTTCTATGTGCCAGCTATTACAAATATTATCTCATTCGGCCTCCCTAGTGGTGCAAGTGATTGAGACATAACCTATGAGGCTGTCCTGCAGTCACTGCAGCATGAGTTTGATCCCCTGCCAGGGAGCCACCACATGGTGCAGCAGACTTCTTCTGACTCGCCCACTGCTCCCCTCAGCAGTGTATTTCCAATCAATCTGCCTGTTCTGTTCCCCAGTCTGTCTCTGGTGAATCCTCTCACCCCTCACACCTCTGGCCTGTACCCTAGTTCTTGTATGAATAAATAAATAAATCTTTTTTTAAAAAAAAACAAATATTATCTCATTTAAATTTCATCACAACCCCAGAAGTGGGTACTGTTAGCATCACCAGTTGACGGGCGAGGAATTGGAGGCACAGGGAGGATATCCAGTGTTGCGTAAGTGGTAGAGTTGGGATTGAACCCAGGTGGTCTTGGGCCCAGAGTTCATGCCATGCTGACCGGGGGGAGGGTTGCTGGGAAGACAGGCAGTGTTTATGGTTATGGACTGGGTTTCAACTTGTGCTGACTTACTTAGAGACAAGCAAAGTTTGTTTTCTTTTTTCCTGTTAGCCTATGTCAGGTAAGATTAGGCTTGGCTATGAGGAAGAAGCAAGATAAAAGCATATTTTCTGTCACATAAGATCTGGTGTCTGCTCCACAAAGTCCTTGGGATTCGTGCTCCTCCCAGGGCATCCGTCTGCTCTGCCTGAAGCATGAGCCTTCACAGTCCTCCACAGGCCTCCACTGTGGGGAGCTTCACAGTCCTCCACGGTGGGGAGCTTCACAGTCCTCCACGGTGGGGAGCTTGTCTGAGCTCAGTGCAGGATGGAGGATATGACAACGAAGTAAATGGCCTTCTTTTTTTTTTTTTTTAAAGATTTCTTTATTTATGCATATATAAATATGGGGTACAGGCTGGGGTACAGGCCAGAGGTACGGGGGTGAGAGGATTCACCAGAGACAGAGTGGGGAACAGAACAGGCAGGCTGACCAAAGTACACTGCTGAGGGGAACAGTGGGCAAGACAGGAGAGGTCTGCTGTGCCATATGGGTTACTCCCCAGCCGGCCAGGGATCGAACTCATGCTGCAGAGGCTGCAGATTGCTTCATAATGTGATGCTTAACCCCTTGCGCCACCAGGGAGACCCAAATGTGCCTTCTTTTAAGGGAAGTTTCTGCAAACTGCTTTATGACATTTTCATTTATGTGTCTTTGGCCAGTACTTCATCATATAACCACATCTAGCCACAAGTATGACTAGGAAATGTATTTTTTATTCTGCGCAGCCATGTGCCAAGCGAAAATCAAGAATTCTGTTACTATAGAAGAAATGGGGAATTGTTGTTGGAAAATATCAAGTTGTTTGCCATGTTGGCTGACTCCTCTGTTAAGACTTCCTTGAATCTATGAGGGAACAGTTATGAAAATGCCAAGAGGGATAGGTTTTACTTTTACAAATGGATACTTAGACTGCTGAACAAATGTTCTAGAATATTTGGCCAAATCTGTGTTTATAGTGTCCACTAAGAGAAATCCCATATTATTTTATTGAGTAGAAGTTTAGTTGTATCCGATGCTTCCTGAGCGAGCTATTTTCTTTCTGGGATTTGGATATTTAGCTCTTTTTGACTAATCTAGTCAAATTGAAATCAGATGTTTATTTTTACATGTCTATTACTCCCCTCTGGGAGGTCTTTCTGGTTTCCCTAAGACTTGTGCAGGCGTGTCTCCTGTTTCTTCTCTGATAACCCTGCACCTGACCCATTATGCCTCTTAATACACCATGTTACCTACAGACCTCTCCACCTCTATGGACAGTAAGTACTGGCCCAAGTGGAGGGAATGTAGGTATCTTACAGGGACTCATGGTATGATAGCTGCTCAGTTAGCTACTTGTTATTGAATAAATTGAGTTCACTTTGGATGATGCTTCTCTTCAGATACTGATAGTGAGGGTATTGAATGACTATATGACAGAGGTGGACTGTACACATGTGTGGATGAAGTAATAGATGAAGGAGACACTGATAACAAAGAGCCATGGGATTGAAGGGAGGGAAATGGAAAGGAAATGGCCAGAGAGCGCAGGTAGGGAACCAAAATCTGGCAATCTGACTTTGGCTCCAGCCTAGAAAAGGAAGCTCCTATGAAGGGTGGTCTGTGGTAGAAACGAGAGTGAGATACACTTGAGTGGCTGTCAGATTTTAGTATGGGAACAATTGAAAGCCCAAAACCCACACTATTGGCTTTTGAAAATCGAGTATCTGACCTCTGCTAAATTAGTTATATGCCCTTAGACAAATCGCTTAACCATTGGAGTCTCTTGTTTTCTTACCTGGGAAATTTAAATAGCCAGGCGTGGCCGACAGGGTTGCTGTGAAGATCAGATGACCTGATATTCTAAGAAAGCACGTGTTAGAGTAACTACCATGTAGTTTCTTTACTGCATTTCATTCTTTAGGAAGGACACTTTGAACTGAGAGGTTACTGCCTTTGCTGGATGGGACATGTTTTATAGAAGATATCAAGGATGGAGAGAACAGGTGACTTGGAGGGCAAGTCAGACCGAGCTTGCATGAAGCTGGCAAAACTGGATTTAGTGCCTACATTTTCTGCTTAAGTATGTTTTAAGAATCCTTACTTGGTGGCAATACAGTTAGCATATTGCAGAAAGCAGGCCAAGAGAGGTATTCTGGAGTCACTATAGTGGGCAGGTAGTGGAGAAAAGCTCAGGATACCTCCTCTTAGGCATGCGTCCTCTGGTGCAACCTTTGTTTAAAGGGATTTGCCACTTCTCTCCCCTCTCCCCTTCCTTCCTCTCTCCTTTTCTTTCTCCTGTGATAAAAGACTATGTCTTTAAGAGTGCAGAAAGCTGAGTGACACATTGCAGCCTTCAACAAGCAGAGCTCAACTCAGTTTTAGCTTCTATCCCATAACTCCTTTTTAACCAAAGTTCAGCTTCATCAAGGCCTAAGCCTCTCTGGGCTAAGCAAGATCTCATTCCCCTCGCCCAAACACAGGTGGGGTGTCCTGTTGCTGAAAAGGATGCTGCCTCCTTCAGAGCAGTCCTCTTTCTGGTCCAGGGTACTTGCTTTTGGACTTAACCCAGGCAGCCCTGCGCCAGCTTCTAAAAATGCACTGTGCTCGATCACCAGTCATGTTTTCCTATTTTTGTTTTGGTATAAAGTCATTGCCTTCATTTATAAAACTGTTATAAATTTCTACCATATAAAATATTAAAAAGGAAAACATTTCCGATGTTTATATCATTTCTTGAGCTACAATGTGAGGAAAGTGTATTTCTGTTTATGAAGGGAAGGGACTGAAGGGTGAGGCAGCATGTTTATATTCTGGAGCCTTCCTGAAGGTGTGAAGTTGTGATGTTTTTATAAGTCAATGTTAAGTAATTGTTTTTAAATACTTAATAAAATAATCCTTTTCCTCTAGACGAGAAAGTAAAACATACCTTTATTAACCCTTTGTCAGGTGTCTGTTGAACAGGAAAAGTTGAAAGGTAAAAGAGTCACCAAGTTGTCCCTCTCTTGGCATTCCCGTGTCCATTCTGCCTACTTGCCTGTTGGCGTATAAGGTCTTGGAGGGTAGAGACTCTCCCTCAGTTATGTCCTCGCCATTTGTAGCTATAAAATTGCACATTCTCTTGTTCCGACGGAGACTTACGAGGCTTAGTCACTATGACAATGAATGTGAAATGGGTTTTCTTTCAATAACTTTTCTTGTCCTTTCTTCACCTTCCTTCACAACCTCATGTACTGGTCCATTTTTATGTTATAGGGATGCTGTTCTGAGATACCATCAATGGTAAAGGAGGCTCAAATGAAAGTTATCCAGATTGTACGACAAGCTGTGAGATGCGTGGGGCAGCTGGCAGCCCTTACAGGGAGCAGGCTGTGTGTTCCGGGGAGCAGTGACAGTGGCGCTGGTGTCCAGGTAATTTAACAACATGAGTTTTGAAAGATTCTGCTAAGAGTATCACTATTTTTAAAAAGCTCAGTCTTTTCATAGTTTATAAATAAGATTTAAAACTGTTTGCTCTAAATATGTAAAATGTGCTGGATAATTTTGGAATCTTCATTTTGGAATTTTGGTTCGACCACAGCTGCCTACTAAGGAAGCCTTTGCTCGGCCAATGAACACGGGAAGAACTGTGTAATCATAGAAAATCAATTCACGGCTGTAATTCACGCCATTGAAAACATGGTATCAGAATGTTATTCTGTTTTCGCAACACAGTTTCTGCTTAAGCTCACAGACATTCTCTACCACATGTTACATGTGTAATGCTAAATAACAGATTTGCCAATTTTCTTTCCTTGTAGACTTAGTTCTTATTCCAGCTTTTGTTGAATTTAATAAGCTTGAGATGTATTATAGTCCTAAAATAAGCAGAAGACATAACTTAATTATTTGATCTTTTTTAATATAAAATCTAATTCTACAACTTAATGCTTAAAAACATTTTCTAGGAGGATTTTGTGGATGCTATTTATGATGGTGTAGGCTTAGGAATGAAGATTCTATTAGATTCTGGAATAAGAAAAGCCAAAGAACTTCAGCATGAACTTTTAAAGCAGTCTACCCAAAATGAGGTAAGAGAAATAAAAGGGTGTTCTACATAGCACCATGCAAACTACAAAGCTGATTTTGAACAGTAGTTTAACTTGAAAGAATTAGATATTTATAACATTTATATTTTAATTTATGTTGAATTTTTCTTATTGAAAAGACTGATACTGTGTTATGGTGATTTTACTCTTGACTTGTTAAAATGTCTGTCATAGTTAATACTTTGCTAGACCCTGTCCCAGCCATCATCAGTGAGAATTCAGTCTGGATAAACTGCTAGGCAGAGTGGAGAGTGGCAGTGACATCTAGTGTTCACTGTTTGTCTTTTTCTACCTTATCTTTGTTTAGGTCTGTACTGATCCACTTCAGAAGGGAAATGACCATTTATTGATCTAATATCTTGAAATTAGTATTTTGCCAGGGACATTCACATAAGTTATTTTTCTTAGTGTATACAACCAGTGAAGATATAGAACCAGTGACAATTTGAGTGATTAGGCCTAAGTCAGAGCCTCCTCTCCATCTCTTCCAGCTAATTAACACTAAAGGCCAAAATCAATGCAGTCTTAGAGGTGGTGCAGGAGGACAGGCTGGGTTTTGACATTGGAAGATGAGCATTGACATCTGTCACTTTCCAGCAATCACGGAACGAGTTACTGAGAGCGCTGAGCCTGTTTCTTCATCTGTCACATGTACTAATACCTGTGTTACAGGTTGTCAGCTACTTGTTTCTTAAATAAGTAATCTCCTGGTAAGACTTACTCGGTGCTTTCCACAAGGCAATAGTAAGCCTCCTGCAAAGAAGCAATTGCTCTCATGCCGGGAGTTTCACGAGCTGCAGCCCCAGCTCTGACGCCCAGAACCAGGATTTTATATTCTACCTGCCTGACTCCAGAACTCAGTGTATTCTGTAAATAAGATCACAAATCATTGTTCATGCAATGAACAGCAAACTTTGTAGAAATTAGTAGTGATAGAAAAGTTTGGGTTTTTTAGAATGTTACATTTTTTTAAAATGTAATAAAATCATGTACATAAAAATACTGATAAGAACCTACACAGGGCCTCCCCGGTGGCGCAGCAGTTGAGCGCTGGGTTGCAAAGCTGCCCGCAGCCTCTGCAGCGTCGGTTCTATCCCCGGCTGCTCCCCGGCCACCGGAGGAGGGTCCCACATGGCGCGCAGACCTCTCCTGCTGCCCGCTGCTCCCCTCAGCAGTGTACTTCGGTCCTTCTGCCTGCTCTGCTCCCCGCTCTGGCTCTGGTGAATTCTCTCACCCCCAGCGCTTCTGACTGTACCCAGTGCTTGCATAAATAAATAAATAAATAAATAAATAAATCTTTTTAAAAAAAAAAAAGAACCTACAGAAGACACAAAATATCAGAAGACATAGAAAATAGGCTCAAAATAAGGCACTAGGGTTACAATTTTAAAGCTATGGTTGGGGGAAGCAGGGGTTGGGGTAGGGTAAGGAATTTGAATGTTCTTTTGTTTTTGCCATAGTTGTTTTACCCCATAGAGGCGATTTGAATTAGACCTGGGGAAGAACTGCCTGGGTGAAGCCAATTAAATACTTAAACAGAACCCCCTGGCAGAAATGAAGAGAGAAAGCACTGTAGGGGGCAGCATTGAGCAGTGTGAAAGTAATTAGAGTTTAGCTTGGGAAGTCTTAGGAGCTAGGACCCCAGGTCTGTTTCCTTATCTGAAAAATGAATAGGGCTGTAATTGAGAATCAAATAATAAAGTATACGTAAATGACACAAGTCAGACAGAGAAAGACAAATACTTTCTGATCTCGTTCATATGTGGAGTCTAAAAAACCCCTGAACTCATCGAAACAGAGAATAGCTTGATGGTTGCAAAGGGGAAGGGGAAGGAATGGGTAAAGTGCTCAAAAGTGCAAACTTCCAGTTATGAGATGAATAAGTCCTGGGATGTCATGTCCAAGATGATGACTATAGTTTACAGTGCAGTATTATACACCTGAAAGCTGCTAAGACACTAGATCTTCTCATCACAAGGGAAAAAAATATTGTTAAGTATGTGAGATGATGGATGTTAACTTACTGTGATCATGTCATATGGCAAATCATGTTGCCTACCTTAAGCTAATACAATGTGATATGACAATTATACCTCAATGAAGCTGGAAAAGATGCATGTGTAAAGTTCTTAGAGCATAATTTTGCTTGGTATACTAATTATCTCACCACCTTCCAAGGGAAGTTTTGGAAATCTTATTCCTACAAATATGTAAATATAGGATAAAAGCTAGCATAACGAGCTTCAAAGGGTATCTGCATTTCATGTAGAAATCAAGGTGCAATTTATTTTGAAAGAAATTTCACTTATATAAGGTAACTAAATTCTACTTATTTAGCTATAGTTGCTAGTAAATTGCTATCCTGGAAATAGAGTTCCAGTCTTCTGAATTCTAGACTACAACCTTTTAACCTATCTGATTCCATAAACTTCTAAGAGTTTTATACTGCTAAATAATTATTTATATAATAAAATATTTTAACATCCTCTGTAGGTTACCAAGCAGATGAAAGCTCATGCCGGGGGATTGGTTCGATCTCTTGAAAACCTCTTTGCTGAATGGAAGACAGTAAGAGAGTCTGATTTTGTTTGTGTGTTTTACCATCTCATTTGGTTTGAGTACATAATTTTTTTTCAGTTTTTGTCCTTAGCCAGATAACTCCTTAGTGCACATTTAGTTGAAGCATGTGCGAAGTTCTCCAGCTACTTCCTCTTAAATGTTATGACTTGCTAGTTTTAGGCATGGTTAAGATGTTATATAGAAGTTGATTAATTAAAATATTTTATGTGTTTCTTCTTGCTTTTGCTGGAATAGTCATTATAGGCTAAAAAATTGTGTTTAATAATTAATCTGCTCAGATTTTAAAATACAGATGAATTAGACAAATTATTCTCATGACAGGTAAATAGTAAAATATAAACTAATATATAATCACTGTGTTAAAAAGGAGCAGATTTCTATGGCTTGAAAAGTTTTATTTAAATAAAAATAAGTGGAGAATATAAAGCTGAACTCTTAAAATTAAATAAATTGATCTTTGATATTGGATAATAACTGGTACGGTTGGTTCATTTAATTCTCATGTAGTAGGTTGGTTGAACTTTGGTTTAAAACTGGTGAAAAGTCTCTCATTCTTTGACCAGTAAATTGTTAATATTATAGCTTGGGTTTGTTTGTAAAAAACAGTTATATCCTGGTGAGGGAATTAAACTCATTCTCTTCTTGAATATAAAATTCTGGTAATTAAAATCATTTTTTTAAATTAAAATCATATTGACTAAGACTTACCGCCAAATATCCTATTTTTTTTTTAAATATTAACTTTATTTACACAGAAAAGTTTCAAAACTGAAGAAGAAAATCCTGGATACCATGATTTGAAGAAAATAGCCAATCTTGCTCCAGAATTCTTGAAGTTAAAACATTGCTTAGAGCAAACTATTCAAGTTATTATTTCTGCACTGAGAGGTATACACTTCAAGTGAAATTTGTAATTAATGAGAATTTCATAATTTAAGGACTTTCACATCTTTTTGAGTCATGTCATGATGTAAAGCCTAATTAAAGTTGTTTCATTGTCATTATTGACAATATAGAAACTTGTGTCATTGAATTCCCACTTAATATATATAAATACTTCTTAAATAATTAGATCCTAAGAAATTAGGTGCTAGCAGATAAGTTGAGACTTAAGCAGTTTAGAATTGTCTTGATAGGGTCAATTTGACCTAAAAGCTATCTAGAGTCATATAACAGTAATAAACACCCGAGGAAACATGAAAAGGTTATTTAACTGTTTCTTCTCCTTGCACAGGGTGCCACAGTGACGTCAGTCTTCTCAAGAATTGTGTGGAAAGTATCTGCACCCTGGCCAGGGATGTTGGACATGACTCTGGTGTGCGCTCTCCTTCTCTTGACAGCTGTGACCACAGGGAACTAGAATCTCTAGCCAAGTCTCTCCTCTTATGTTTTGAATCTGAAGAAAGACCCAATTCGTTGACACCTTGGGAAACCAGTGATCAAAATAGCAGCGGAGGAGGATACCCCCCACCTAGCTCAAGCAGGACCGACTCCAGCAGGAACAGAGGTGTGCCGAAGCGTGTCTATGAGCTGCATGGCTCATCCCAAGCGGGCTTGGAGGAATGCACGCCACGGAGCATTCAGTGGGTGTGACCGCCGATGCGTAGGCACTGGAACAGTGACTAGGCCCTTTCCCTTCTCAGGAGCATATATAAAGCAAGAAAAGTATACACATTGCCAGGAAGTCCACGTCTGTGGTGGTCAACTGTGGAGTACGAACAACGTAAGCATTATGGGATGCTGATGTCAAGATGCCTGGACGTGCCCTCAGAAGTGTCTCCGCACACAGTTTCACCACATTGGAACATTGTCTCAAGAGAATGAAATTTGGAGTTTCAAACCCACCTCCTTTCTCTAGTTTCTCGTTCCCTTGAATTTTTAAATATTTATCTTTAACATCAATATACTGTTGGTTTGTTGGCCTGGTTAGAAATAGTTGTTTTTCTCATGTGTAAAAATCTAAACAATCAGTTATGTTTGTGCCTGTGCCTTTTCTCTGAGACTTAGGGTGAAATTACTAGCATAAGTTTAAGGGAGCTCAGCGTGCATCGTTAAATGCACAGCTCTGTTGAATTATCTGGTTGCCATTTTGAGAAGTGTTCAAGGGCACAGTTTCCTTTTTTTTTTTTTTTTAAATTATAAGTAGCTACCTAGTATAGTATAATTACATACTTACTAATACTATGACTTACTGATGTAATAGTTAATCTAGCCCATAGTGGACACATATGACTATAATTTAAAACTAGTTCAGTATTGCCAGAGCAGAGGCTGGACTTTTTCTTGATAACGCTTGTTTTGTTAAAGGTGTAATGAAAGAGTTTGTTCATGATTTGATAAAGATGGAAGATCCTTCTTATGTTTCATAGTTAAAAAGAAAACATTTGTCTACCATCAAATACTGATGATAAGATTCTATTTTGGGGATCTTACATTAAGAAGTAGTTTAACATCTCTGACCGCAAGCTTATGTATAATTTGAAAAGACTCTGAGTCATTCTGCTTGGGTGGGTAATATCTAGCAATTTCTGAAGAACATTTCACCCTTAGCTGACCTGATCCTTTCTTCTACCCCTTTCACTTGCAGGTGCCAATAGCACATTTGGTATAACTAGTGAAAATTGGCTGTTAGTACCAGGAAACAATTTGATGATATCCTTGTTAGGGAGAAGGTGTAAATAAATACTGGTCATTGTAGTGAGAACAATATTTTCATGAACCATGTGCTGTATTTTCAGGTATTTAAAATGGTGCAATGTAGCAAATTTGCTGTCATTTCTTTTTAAATCTTTGGCATTTGAGCTTGTTTTCTTTCTGAATACAAGTTCTACATGTATATATATATATTTATCAGTAGTACTCAGCCACACAGCACTTTGGCTATCAAGTTTCATGAGGTATAGATAGATGTCCACAGAAGGCCTTCTCCTGAAGGTTGTGCTTCTCTGAAGAATGCCCTAAAGAGGCAGTGTAGTAGTTTTCATCTCGATATTCATTTGTCTTTACTGTCTCCTTTCTCGTGACTGTATTAGTCAGAAACATTTTAATGTTTTTGTGAGATTTTGTATATTTGTATTTATACTCAAGTAAATTGTTACACAGTATTTGAATGAATGGTGAAAAATATTTGCTATTAGAATCATGTGCATTAATAAAATGTTATAAAGGGAATGCCTCTAATAAATCTTTTTAGCCTCAGAATTATCTCTTGGTCTAAGGTCTTAAAATTTTACTGATTATCTTTATTTACTTGATTTCAGATTCAAAATTTCTGTAATAGCTCTGCCTTGATAACTGCTATCTAGTAGTGCAAATCAAATAAATATTAATAGCTTACAGCTGCTTAGGAGTTTATTTTTCAAACAATGTGGTGCCTCTCTTTAATTGGTCATGTTGAAATAGATTTGACCCCAAGTATGATAGTGGAAAAAACATGAGTTTTGGACTTTGACACTATTTGGAGTATGAATCCCACCTCAACTAAGTAACTATATGACCTTAGACAAGTTTGCTGCTGTTGTCACCCCCACTTCCTCACCTGCAGAGAGAAAAGTAATACCCACCTCATGGGCTAGCTGAACATTAAGTGTTCAGGTCTACTCCTGGCAGGTAGTAGGCCCCAGTAAATGTTAGTGTCCAGTAAATGTTAGTACCTTGTCACATGACCCTTGCATTATGTATATAGATGACACTTGGTGCCGGCATGTGCCATCTGTAATATGCTGCCAGTGTGCCACATGCTTTAAACAGCATGTTAGAAATAGATCTGCCATTCTTAGGTTCCATGATAATAGAACTAAACAATATCTTACTACCCGTGAGCAGTATAGATACAGGGTGCCGTGGGTGGGTGTGGCCTTCAGGAGGCCCACCTGCAATTTTTTAGCAAAATATTGTGTAGTTAACTAACCCCCTTCAAGTTGCAGAGCCTTTGTGCCCATAACATAAGTAAAGTTGGTGTTGTACCTAACATTGAAGGTAAGAATGCACAATAGTCTGGCTCAGTTAAAGAAGGTTGCTATGTGGGGCTTCTGCTCACTCTTCGATTGTTTTTGCTTTGCCACAATTCCTCATCCCCTCACCTGCTGATGGACATGTGGATTCTTTCCAGGTTGGCTATTTGCCCATGCAGGTCTCCTTTTTTCACTGTATTTTAATTTGGTACTTAATTTGATCTCAACTTTCAGGAATTGGGAGTGGCTCTTGCGTTATTTTCTTCCAGATTTTAAGTCATCTCTGTTCCAGGTCTCCTTTAGGCCTTCCAGGTGAGCAGCAGCTGAACTCCCACACAGCGCTCCCTCCCTGCAAACCTCCTGGGGCGGCTGGGCTCCAAGAAGCTTCCCATGTCCTCCCTGGTCCCACCGGCTTGCTGCTTTGAACTCACTGCTTCTGAGAACATCCTTCTCTCCCTTGCAGGGGGCCTTCCCAGACACTTAGGGGTCTGACACACCCCTCGCCTGTTACTACCGAGGAACAGAAAAGGAAGAAAGCCTTCAGACTCCTGGACTTAAGTTCACGTTCCTTCCCTGCTTTCCTCTGAAGCCAAGACCCCTCCCCACCACATAGTCCAGGAGATACAAGTTGGTCCGAGTGAACAATGAATTAATTTAAGCATGGAAAAAGAAAACAGTCTCAATCCTAGTCTAGGACAGAACTCTTCCATGATGTAATTCATGACCTTCTGGAAAGGAATTAGCATTTCTGATAAAATGCTTGAGCAATGTTCTACTGGAACAAAAGGAGATTATGAGCTTCTGGGAAGCCAGGGTTATTCATTCAGTGGACTGACTAAGCCAGGACTCTAACCAGACTTTTTCATTTTTATTTTTTCGGACAAACTATTTTTAGTTGAGGTAATATTAGAGATACCAAGATTTCTTTCTTTTTTATGTTTCAATCTAGTGGTTCTCTAACTGTTCTTTTTCCTATAAACTGTCTCTAACAGGAAGAACTCTGAATTCCCTTGCTCTAGGTTATGGCTCCGGGCCAGCCAGACCGGAGTCTGAGTTTGAGTTCTTGCCCTCAGCTCCGCTGCCAGACTTTGGGCAAGTCACAATCTCCCTGTGCCTTAGTCTCCTCACCATACCCAGAGGTGGCACATATCCTCACAGTGTTGATAGGAGGGTCCTGGAATTGTTAGGCCTGCAATGGCCCAGAGTTTTCAATAAAAAAGCAGTTATTACAACAATATCATGAATGCATTCATATTCACTACCCAATTACCCCTACCTTCCCATATACACACCCCACCCCAGGTGGATGTTCCCTCTCTGCTGGCATCCAGCTTGACCCCCCTGAACTTCCAAAGCAGCCAGCCTCACCCCCCAACAGTGGTGGGAGCCTCAACTTTCCCTTGAAGAGGAGCTTCTGGATTTCATTCCCAAAATTCTGTTCATCTTGCTTTCTTTTCTGACAGGCTAAGTCCCCATCTCAATTCTCTCACAATTTATAGTCTTTTAACAGAAAAATCCATCGAGGCTGCTTACAACTCTTGGAGACCTATCTGCCTGGAATGTCCAGTGGGCAGTAAATAATCTCCAGGAACTTCAGATTCCTCTTGATCTCTGTAGCATTGAATTCCTTCGTTATTTAATTAATTTAATTAAATGCTTAACTGTCCCCCAACTCCTCCCTGGTTTCCATTCCCTGAACACTTTCCTGGTCCCTTTGAAACTGGAGACCCCTTCCCCCTCAGGACTCCAGCTCTTGGCCCCAGAGCACTGCTTGTGGGCAGTGCAAGCAGCAGTGGGTGGTGGGCATTTTACTGCCTGCCACCAGTAGCCCCTTTGGGGCTCAGACCGCTGGCAGAGCCAGCAGTGATGGTGGACTGCAGTGGTTCCCCTAGCATGTCACCCCAGGGTAGGCAATAGAGAGGTAATGGCACCCCAGCTCTGTGGCTCCTCTAGCTGCAGGCAGTAGAGAGGCCCGTGGACTTGGTGCTGGATAGATGAATGGACCTATCAGGTGTGAGCTATGAGCCAGTTGGTAAATGGTGCCATCAAACTGGTAGGTGAGGGCTCTGGAAGGGAACGCAGGGCAGGAGCACGGCCAGCTTGGGCCTCCTGCACCACTGGCTCCTGGGCTCTCCCAGAAGCGCTCAGACTCACACTCTTGGACTGGCCCAGACTCCCTGTGTGCTTGAGAGGGGCGCTGTTCCTGACCTCCCAGGGGAGGAGGGCGAGGCGTCCAACAGCCGGCCTCTGAAGGAAGAGAAGCTGAAAAATTTTGCAGAGAAACCAAAGAGCTTTTCGAGGTCAGGGCCTGCTTCCTCCATCCGGCCTGCCCCTAACACCGCCTGAAAGGAGCACCAGGCCTCGGGCCTGGTGTCTCAAAGAGCTGTTTGAGAGCAACTGGCTAGTGCTGCCCAGCACTGTTGACAGGCGGCCAGCACTGTGTCTGAGTCACCTTCTGAGAGCACCTCCCAGAGCTGCTGCCTCCGCTGCCGTCTGGCCCAGCAGGTGCTGTCCATCCCAACTTCCAGGCTGTGGCTGGGGCTGCTGCGGCCTCATCTCAGCGGCCCCACCAGTGAGTGCATCCAGCTGCGGTGAGTTGGATCCTGGCCTGCTGCTCGCCGTCCACCTTGCACTCCAGGCCCTTGTTAAAAGGGCAGCAATAACTTTTGAGAGCGGCCTTTGGTTTAGGACTTCTGGGCACAGTGCACACTCTCTGGGGTGAGATCTCTGGTCACTTGTGGCCTTAGAGATTCCTTGTTTCCCCTGTTTGTTACATAAGCCCCATTGTTGGTTCCCTGAGCCTGAGTGGTCTTAGGTTGTGTGCAGGTGAGAACCCAGTGACAGTGACCTGCGCCCTATTGGGCACTGTCCTTTTGACTTGCTATAGCCGCCCCACCCTGTAGCCTTATAGCACCTTCCCACTCCTGCCCTGTCCTCTCTCTATCACTCTTTGCCTTATAGTCCCCAAGTCTCAGAACCTGTCCTCACTCCTTTCTCTACACTCTCCCTCAGCTTCCCAAGCTCTTCCCTGTGTGGGGCTCCCTTCTTTGTCTCCCAGGCTCCCATTTCTAGGGAGCCTTCACCTCATCTCCACCTGCCTTCTCAAACACATCGTTTTCCTCCACAAACATTTTTCCCTCCTGGCCTCTGTTTATCGCCACCTCAATTTCAGAGTCTTGGAATTCTCTCTGTCTGGCTGAAGTCTCCTACCATCCGCTGGACACCAAGCCTTTGATTCTTCCTCCAGGAGCTTCTCACACGTGCCCCTTTCTTTCCATCCCTCTGTTAAATTCTAGGACTCTGTTCCTTTGTGCTCAAGCTTGCTAGTGAGTGAGCTTACCCCCCAGACCCTCCTGTTCTGTTCTACCCTGCCTCCCAGTTCGAGAAGCATCTATTTCAATCTCTGAATTTAGTTCCTCGTCTCTTACTCAAGAACTTTCAATGTTTGCCTCTGTTTACAGAACAATACCCAAAATACAGAGCTGGGCAACCACACTCTTCCAACCATGACCTACACAAAGTCCCCCATATGTGCCTTGTACATCCCAGCCTCTGAGTGTTGACTGACATGAGAGATACCATTTCTCCTCTTCGTCACTTCATCTAACGCTGCTGGTCCCTCAAGTTCTACCTCCTTTATGAAAACTTCTTAGTCACATATTTATTGAGACATTGAGAATACAATGGCAAAGCTAGACTCCCAACCCATGGAACTCACATCCTGGGGGAAAGATGGACAAGTCCCAGCAATGACCATAGGGTGTGACCAGGGCTCTGTCAGGGGACATGAAAGGTCAGGAAGTGCTGATCCTTAGGGACCTGGAAATAAGGGGAAGTTAGCAAGGCAAGGCACTGGGAAGCATAACATCTCAGGTAGGTAAAACAGCACATGCAAAGGGCCAGAGGAGAGGCAGAGCTTGTGCATAGCCAAAATGGTGCAGAGGCTGATGGAGAGAGTGGGGAGGCTAAGGCTGGAGATATTTTCGGAAGTCCCATCAGGAAGAGACTTGTAGGTCATATCAAGGAGTTTGGTCCGTGAATGTTTTAAGCCAGGAAGCAATTTTGAATTCAGATTCTATAATGATCTTTCTGTAGTACAGAGAATGATTGGGGTCACAGGAAAGTGATCTCTAGAATGTCAAGGTGACTGTAAATGGAGACAGGTATATATCTCTTCTAGACATATTTAGGAGACAAAATGGATAAGACTTAGTGAAGGGAAGACAGAAAAATGGAGGGATTAGACAGAGGGAGTTTTTCACACAATGAAATACTACTTAGCCATAAAGAAAGATGAAATGTTGCCATTTACAGCAAAATGGAAGGAGTTTGAGGGAATTTTAGGTGATACAGCAAATATTGGACATTTACATAATGG